ACACACACACACACACACACACACACACACACACACACACACTTCTGGTTTTGTGTTTCTATTTTTTTATTTTTTATTTTTAGATTCTGGTTACAGAACAACAACAAATTCTGTAACACGAAAACATTTTTGTGAAACCAAAAGGCAACTTACTTGCAGAAACTTCCTTGCGCACACGGTGAACAGGAAGTAGAGCTTTGCTTTGAGGCAAAGAAACCTGAAAGCAGAAGTCAGAAAACACCTCAACGTGTGTTCTGTTGATTTCTCAGATTTTAAACTGATATGTGTATAYGTACTCGAACAAAAAAGGAAGGAAATTTATGCTTGGTATTTTTTTTTCTGTCTTGTAACAATGCTTCTTTGTAAGAAATCTCATGACTGGCAGCACCTGGGGGTACCAGAAGCTCAAAACAAGGGTTAATAGCAACAACAGAATAAACTGTTTGGCAGAGAAGATGTGCAACCCACAGCTCTATTGCACATCCCACAAATGCATGTTCCTTACAAATGTGGCACCATTTAAAAGAGAAATTAACAGACTTTCCAGCAGTTTAAGATTTATTRTCAAGAAGCATTGTTACAACAAAGAAATCATCTACCAAATATAAATTGTCTTACTTTTTGTGCTAAGTTTTATATGAAAGCATGTTGAGATCAGTGAATGTAAAACTGTAGTTTTGCTCMAATATAGGCCGTCTGTTCTCTGCTGCTGTTAAAAGAACACCGTACAGCTCCATAAACACACCTGGAGAACAACTCGTGCAACTTTCTGCGCCAGTGTTGTTGTTGAAGGATCCGGCAGGACAGGGCYGACATAACGGACTTCCAGTGAAACTGTGAAGACAAAATGAGCATCTGAGAGAGGAAAGGCAGTGATAAAAGACGGCATTTTCATTTGTTTTCTTTACTTGCTGTAGAAACCCTGACTGCAGGGCAGACACTGCTGCTGTCCTGACAGCGACTGATAAAACCCCTTTTGGCACGACAGACAAGCTCCAGGAAATAYACACAGCCCGGGATCAGAACAACATGTGCACAGCAGTGTGTCTGGGGAAAGAGAAACRTTTTCTTTTATTTCTATTGACTGCAATTCAGAGAAGGATTAACATTGAGTGACAAGTTTCAAAGTGTTTATTGTCATATGCACAGATGAAAACATGTTTCCCTGAGCAATGAAATTCTTACTTTGCCGACCACTTTGAATGCCGAGAGACAACCATACTAATAAGCACTGAAAGGACACCAACAAGGTAATAAGRGATAAAGGATAAAAAAGACCACACTTYGAACAAAAAAGAGACCAAACTAGAGATAATAACATCAGAAGGGAACAATACAATAATAACATCAAGAAAGGGATGTTTCTGATGAACTGATGAACCTTTGCCTATCTTTAGGCCTGCCTACTTCTAAGAGAGTCAGCATCTGTTTTTTTATACTCAGTCCTCCTGACCTGTTGCCAATTAACCTATTTAGTTGCAAAATGTATATCCAGCTTTAATTTTCTAGTTTTTGTTGCTATTGTTTCAACTTTTTAAGATGTGTTGCTGCCATCAAATTCCAAATTTCCTTCATTTTCCTAAACAAATTATACATTTTTTGTTGAAACATTTGATATAGCGAATAAAAAAATGGGTTTATTATATTTGCAAGGCATTGTATGTTTTATTGGCATTGTGTGCAACCTTCTTTCCCTTTTGGAATTGTGGTAGTGTTTAAAACCTATTTTTTCAGAAAGTATAGAATTTAATAGAACTGTGTGTGGGTTGAACGTTGAAATAAATGTGGTACTAAGTGGATGTCAGAATGTGATGACTGACTCACTGTTGTCGTACTGGGATCCTGGCGCGCACGGCTCACAAGCAGAAATGTTAAAAGCGGAGCAGCCCGAGGTCGTGCTGCTGAAAATCACGGGTGTTGGAGTCAGACTGGTGGTGTCCTGAACGAGAGTGGTGCTGACTGCAGCGGGAGTAGGTGTAGGAGTGGTCTGACTCACCACCAGGCCTGGAGTTGGGGAGAACTCGGGTCAGGTCAGAGAGTCAAGCACACAAAAACACTCAAAAACATGTGATTTGTCAAACATAAAAGCATAAAAAGTGCTTTAACATATGCTATCATAGTGTAGGGGTCACCTCGAGTGAAGAAACAAGATTTACTGCCTCGAAGCATGCCTCGGACAGGCCTGACGAGAGGACAGGAACTCTGTCACAAACTGAACTCTATTTAGGCCATGACAGGTCATTCTGACCCTGGAAGAGAACCCCTCAGTTCTCTTAATCAGATAATGGACAGAACAATCTCTTCTGTTCGTGATTCATTTGTTGTTTAACTAAGAATGTTCATGCATTTGTTAAATCATGATAATGACTGTCACAGGAAAGTGGAACCACTTCTTTTCTTTTATCGTGCCTTAAAGATTTATAATGGTATAAAAAAATCACAGAGAATCTGATTACAATGTTTTCATTGTGTTTTTATGTAAATCCCTGTTTTTATTTTACTGTGAACACAGTAATATAATTGTGGATTTTTCCTGAGAAAATCTTTCATTTATCTGGACAAACAGAAGGTTCAGAACTGATTATAAAACAGAAATGTTAATTAATCATCATAAATGTTTTGCAGTGATTTCTCTTAGTTTATCAGAAGAAAGCTGAAAAGAGGTTATCACATCATGTTGTTGAACAACCACAGAATTTTAACTTTGGGCTGGCGCCGCTGGCAAATCTTTTATCTTTCTTTCTCTGACTCATCTCTAAGCCTGAGAGYGGAACCAAAGTTCRTCCGTTTCTTTTACTAACCCGGACGGCTTTGAGCGACACACTCTTCTTCTTGATTCCAACCTAGGAAGACAGCTGGGATTCTCTCCAGAGAAACCTCAGTTTGGCTTAAAGTCTGATCCCATGAGCTAACTAGGGGAGACTTCACAGCCAGGGACCCGGCACGCCTGCCGGTGGTCTCAACCCGAGGCCAAGCCTCTAAGTGTGTTTTTAACTCCCGAGGGAAGATTTTTATTTTGGAAGGAGGAACCGGATACGGCTTGAATTTTTCTGGCTTGGACTGAAACAGACGAAAGTTACCTGGAAAAACACCTGTTCGCCAATGACCGGTAAGCGAGCCGACATCGGTTCCCTGACTGATCAGAGGCAAGCCAGCTCCTACCCTGAGGGTGCCTTAAGAAGTCATCACCAGGTAAAGCTGATGTGTTCGGAGTGACGTGTCATGTGGAACCTGAGCTTGGAAAAGACGTGCAGTTCCGGTTGACCCACACTTTGATAAAAGTAAAAGTAGTAGTAACATACTAATTTTACTTTCCTCCTTTCTTTGTTCTTAATTTGCCAAAATTTAAGCTTAAGTGCCAGTAAAATTGTTTGGTTGTTAACATCAGAACTGACGTTTTACTGTTCTATATGAGTAATCTGAGTTAATGTGAATTGAAATTCGGACGCGGGTTTTATTTCATTTAACTCTGATGCTTTTATAGGAATAACCACAATCAAGTGTAACTTATGATCTGTTTAATTTATGTAAATAAATGATTTCATAGTCTTTTATGAATCAACTTGAACTCGTCTGAACGTTCACTTATTGTGTCACTTTTCATTTCGCACAGTCAAGATATCAACAAGTAATGAGAAATACCTTGGTAAAAGTTTCCTCATAGCCTCGTGTATGAGAGATGTGGGAAAAGCTTAATTCACCTTAAGCTCACTCTTACAATAGACATAGAACATAGAGTTAAATCTCAGATGACTAATGAAACAAATGAAAGGAACGCATAACACCCGCCACCTTCCAAAGTTTTAAACTAAAWCCATCTTATGGTGCAATAATATAATAATATATTACATTCAGTGTGTGATGGTAATGATTCTCATCTATAGCAAATTTTTAGCTCAGCGTCTCTTCAGTTGACAGAGCAGTCATATGCTTTAATATTTCAGTACAACCCAGGCAAGTAAAATCTCTCCTTTATTGCAACTAAAATCTTAATGTTCTCAATCAAATGTGACAATCCTGCTCTGACTTATCTTTTTTTGTGAACTCTGATTATAAACATTAAATTAGAATCTCACCCCTCACACATAAACTGAGCACAAATACAAAACACAACCAGCCAATAAAATCAAAATTTTAATTCAACTATACCTCATATAAACAACGGGCATGAGCAGATTCCTTCTATAGTTGTTTTCCTCAAGTATTTTCATTCTTGCTACGTCAGCATTACACCTCGCAAAAAAAACAAAACAAAGAAGCTGGCAACACATCAGCCCAACAGAGCCCATATTGTGGAGTTAATCACATAAGCCATGTGCTCAGAAACCACCAGCCTYATAAAATTCAATTATTCAGGAAGAGGGCCGTCATGTGATGTTTCTGCTCTTTTTTGGGTTGGCAACTTTATTTACACAAAAGTGTTAAAAATGTAAGAAAAATTGTCTGAAAGGAAAATCCAAATTTTAAATCAAAACATTTAAGAACTCCTTATGGCTATTATGGTAAATATCAGAACTTTAAAGCTAAATTTTACTCAAAATAACAAATAAACATTATTTCAAAGTAGTTTTTATAAATGAGGAAGTTTAAACAGATTTAGTACGTTAAACAAAGCTAAAGAAATTATAACYCTGCAAAACAAATCAAATGAATGCCCACAATCAGCTATTTTCTTTAGTTATTCAACAGCAAATATAATTTATAACCAGATTAACTATTTTTTTAAGAAGCGACTTTGTTGACTTGATGTATTTTCCATTGCAACGTCTCCATATTAGATTTACAGCATCGTTTTTAGGATTTTTGCACAATTTCCCCGCAATCAATTTTTTAAAGTAAAATAAAAGTTGAATAAAACTCACCAATAAAACAAGTGGCAGCAATGGCAGGAAAAACTGCCCAACAGTCCATCCTACAGACCCTGCAGATCCTGCTTCCAGCCAGCACTGTTTGTCTGCAGCATCTCATCCCAGACAAGTGGCTGAGTACAGAGGAGGTWTTAGTTCTCAGGTCCTCTCATCGGTGTCATATGACACAAAATATCATGTGATTTTACTTTGGAGGCTGAAAGAGGCTGGATTTAGACCCGGTCTGCTGCTGTTAAAGCAACAGCCAGTAGGGTCAAGCTTACAGCTGATAAACAATCTGCACAGATTTAGAGTTTAGTTTAAACATTATGTGACATATTTGATGTAAATAGATGCTGCCAGGGCTTTTTAAGGCTAAATGGATATATTTTTTTACATTAAGTTGGGGCTTAATGAACAATAATATTGCATGGAAAATACATAATGGTATAGTTTTTGTTTTTCTCTGAAATTCTTGTTTTCATAAGCAGCACTCCATCTTTGGTCATTTCTAATTTAGACTTTAAGCAGTGATGAGTGCTGTTCAGTGTACCAAATTAAGTTTTTTGCGGTGGGGGAAATTCCTCAGAAGTCACAAGTTTAAAATCAACTTCCCCTTTTAGCGTTTTTTTTATGCTTCAGAAATTATCAWAGCTTTGAACCAAGAATGTGTTTACTCTATACATACACCACAGACAATCAGCAAATAGTTTGTTTTAGTTTAATGGCAAAAAGAGTGAAGTTAATCCACAATATTTTCCAAAGCAACAACATTACTTAGTGAGATTGTGGAGCACATTTCTTTTAACTGTTTTCTCCTATGAGGGGGGAATCATCCTGGATGTAGGGTGCCAAGCTGTGCTCCAGTTCCTTCCAGCTTTCAATCTTGAAACTTTCCTGACAAAATAAATAAGTAAAATAGAAAATATGTGTATATATAAAGATGTGTCATTTACTGCATCAGAGAAAGCTTCACTTCCTTTTTAATTTGTACTCACCTTACTGTGGCTTTCTGTGTGTGCTGCTGACTGTTTGCAGGTCTTACTTCTCTCATTTAGCTTCAGTCTTTTACATTCCTGCTTTTTCTCTTCAAGTTTCTTCCTCAGAGCCAAAACCGTCTCATCCTGAGCCACCTGCTGCAGGAACTCCTGCTTGGCCTTCTTCTCCTCTTTCCTGACAAACGACACAACTATGAAGCTGGAAGTTGTACGTTAGTGTTTTTACAACCCTAATTAAAGAGTTTGGATGTTATTTTACGTTAAAATACCTGGGACATCAAATTTTTTGTAATAAATATGAATGCATTTTTGTAAAAATAACCACAATAACATATTGCAAAAACAAATAAAAAAAATCACGCTGCTGAGATGAGCAATTGTTGGGACATTCACATGTGAAGTAACAGGAAGTGATGTCAAAGGGGAATGTCTGCATGTAAACAAAGCCTTGCGATAATGCAGTATCTCACAACATATAGAGATGAATCGAATGTTTTTTAGATAATTTTGAGTCATTATCAGAGAAATGAAGAAGAGTCAGAGTTCAAATAATATTGTTTCAACGAACAAAGACCAGAGAGTTCCTTTTCTAAAACAGTTCTCCTTTGATGTCACGTCCTGTTTCACCAAAGCTGAGCCAAGTTCAAAAGAAAATACAGTATGCCATGTGACAAAATGAGTAAGAGCCAGTAGTTTCTTAAATATAAAGATGTTTACTTTGAATTTTTGTATTTGAAGGATATTCATGTCACAGGCACTTTAGAAACAGAAGGTAATGACTGGTAGATAACCCCTTGTTTTATTCACAATGGAACATAGTAAAGACGTGAAATGTTTAAACGAAGGAATTTTCTCATTAAAAAAAAAACAAAATAAATTTAGAATTTGATGGCAGCAAAGCACCTGAAAACATCTGTGAAACTCGCTTCTTTTAACAACAATCTGTGAACATCGAGGAAGTGAGACCCGTCACTGGAAAGTTTGTAGAGGCATGTTGTCCCATTCTTGTCTAAACTCTTACAGAACAAAACCGCACTGCTGTAATGCATGAACGTTTGTAGTTTAATGTTGTTTTGCTGAAAAATTCTTTCTTGAAAAAGATGTTAAGATTGAAGCGTAAGTTGTTCTAAAACCTGTATCTGCATTGATGGTATTGTTCCAGATGTGTAAGCTGYTCRTGCCAGAGGTACTAACGCACCCCTATACCATCAGAGAGGCAGGCTTTTCAACTGTGCTTTGATAATAAGCTGGATGTTCCCTCTCCTTTTTAGCACAGAGGACCTTTGGTTTGTTGGTCTCAACATCWGTGTTCCGTTGTGAATAAATACAGGTTTGCAAAGATTTGTAAATCGTTGCATTTATGTAGTTTTTCCCCACATGTCAATAATTTTGGAGTTTGGGCTGACCTGTTGGCTGCTGCCTTCGCCCGCACTCTCCTGTGCAGCTCGATGGTGTCTAACTTCTCCAGCATCTCTAGCCTTCTTCTCTTCTTCTCCTCCAGGATGCGGCCTCGCCGCTCCTCCTGCTCTGCGCGCTCCGCCTGCCTCAGCAGGGCCAGGCGCTCCTTCAGCTCGGCCAGAGACATCTCCCCCAGCAGCTCGTGGCCTGCGGTCTGACGTAACGAAGGGATGAGTTCAGCACGACRCGCCAAGGCAAGACGGGTCCGTGTGAAGCCGCTTACCTCCGCGTCGTCAAAATGGTTGAGTCTGATGCGAGGCAGCGACTCGATGGCGTGAATTTCACGGATTATCTGATACTTTCTGCAGAGCTCTTCCTGTTGTTCTTCCAGCGCWTGGCGAAGAAGCTCTTGGCTTTGCTCTGATACTTCTTTAACTGAGGAATGTGCATGAAATGTGTCAGAATTCAAAGGAAATCRTTACAAATCGATTCATTTGTGAGGTCAAATGATAAGTCTTACCTATGTTTTGCTTCAGTTTCTGTATTTTCTCTAGAGCTGCTTTTGAATTCTTGTGGCCCTCTGCTACTTGTTGCACCAACTCTTTCAGTTCTTTTTCTTCCCGCATTCGTTTTTCTGCATATTTTTGCATCAGTTGTGCAGTCTTGGGGGGAAAAAAAAGCAACCATAAAACACTTAAGTGTTTCATGAATATTTGCAGAAAATGTGATTCTTGATTTTGCACACTTGATTTTTTTAAATCACCTCTTCTTTCTTCAGCTGAGCGGCCTTCTGATTGCGTTCGGTTATTCGCTGACGGATCAGAACCACCTCCGCCGCACCGATGCGCACCTCCAGGTTCTTTTGTTCAATCGTGGACAACTTCTCCTGATGGTCCTTATCGAGCATCTCTCTCTGCCACTGCAGGAAAGATGAAGGCTCTCGAGCTCCTTGCACCAGCTGATCGACTCTGTTTCAAAACATCAGACTTTTTAAAAAATTAAATCAATACAAGAAGCCTGACAGAGCAAAATGATCTCATTAGAAAGTAAAAACTGTAAATAATTTTTCACTCATWTAAAAATGTTACACAAATTCCCTAAAACATTTGGAGGATTTTGCTTATGATCCAGTTATCTGCCGTGCAGAATACTGGACATGTTATGAAATTAAGCATCTAGTTAAAAAAGCAGATTTGCTGCAGYATAAACCCTTTCAGTTAAAAGGTAGGGAATTATTTAACTGTCAAAACTACAGCAGTAACAAAAGCAACATAAACATGACTGTTTTTTTTTTTTTGGACACAAATTAAAAATAATTCTAAACAGAGGTAAATAATTTCCAACATCCTTTTAATTTTGTTTTACTTTGCATTTGAACTATATTTAAAGCAGACTGATACACACTCTGCATCGTCCCAATAGCAGTTTTACAAAAAGAAAAAAGAAAGAGCTAAAACACTGTATAATAAATCTAAAACTGACTGATAGTTTTAAACGCTACCTCTGCAGCTCTTCTTCCAGCTGACGGTTGTTCAGTAACTCCGTCCTCAAAATGGCTGCATTATTTAGCTTAACAGAACAGCGGTTAGCCTGCAAGAATAAAAATAATGAATATGCATAAAACACATATCATCCTACCCACGAAACATGATTTACTGAAGCTGGTGTARTAATAATAATACTAATAATAAAATCTTACTTTACTGAGAGGAAGTCCAGTAGAATGAAAAGAGTTAAACTTGAGTTTGGAGTCCAAGTCTTGTTCAATCTGAGCTAAACTTTTCTGCAAAACAAATGACGGTTGAGCCAAACTGTCAACTCTTYGGAACAGGTTTGCTCTCACATTGTAGAAGTTGATGCGTGATATGTTAAAATGTAGTAAGCAGTATTACAAAAATCTATAATAATCTGTGTATATGCAGTATGAGAGTGAGTTGTAAAGCCCCCAAATCACAAAACAGACAGAAACAGCTCCTACCTTTGTGTGTTCAGACTTCTCTGCTTTCACACATCTGAACTGTTTCTTGTTTGCWTCATAAAGTTGACCCTTTAATAAAAAAAACCCACCTTTGACAAAAGTCCACATGTATTAACGATCATTTCCTCTGTTCTGTAAATTTGGATGATGGTTGGAACCTATTTTTGCAGCAGCTTTTCTACGTTGAGAAACAAGATCTGATTTTTAAATATGACCCTGCTGAATTAAATAAAACATAATTATTACCAAAGCCTTTCATATTTTGCTTGTGTGAATGTTGGGTCAGAAATCACACAGTGGTTTAWAGTTTCTTCCGTACGTTTTTGGACACTTGGTCAGCTATTTCRTTCACCCAGATATTAAAATGTTCAGCTTGTCAGAACGTCACAGTGATAAGTTGACTTCTAYACTTTTGGAATTATTTTACTTTATTTACGTTCATCTCATAAAGATTATTTTAGATCCTTAAAATCTTTGGAAAAATATATGCGCTTTAAAATCATCGTCACTTACATCATGTTTAGCTTCTGTTTGCAATTTTCAACTTTTAGCTACTGTTTTGTTGGTTTTAGCTTTTAGCTACTTTTTGATCACTTTAGATTTCAACTACTGATTTGCTGATTTTAGCTTTTAATTAAGGTTTGGTTAATTTAACTTTAAACTACTCTTTGTTTGGTCATTGGTGGTAAATAGCTTTTTGTTGATCTTAGCTTCAAGCTACATTTAGCTTTTTTAGCTTTAGCTAGATTAGCTGTTAGTTATTACTAAGCTAATTTAACCTTTAACTACTGTTTTGTTGGTTGTAACTTTTAGCTATTTGATCATTTTAAATTTTAAGTTTTACTGATTCAGCTTTGAGCTGATGTTTTGCTGATCATAAATTTTATCTTTATCATTCATTTTAGTATTAGGTTTACGTAGCCAATTTTAATTTATAGCTTTTAGGGTTTTTCTGTTGTTAGTTTTTTATTTCAGTGTTAGTTTATTCAACAAATTAAAACTGCATTCAGTCCTGAACATTCACAATGAAATTTTTCAGAAAATGTAATTGTTTCTACAAACAACTGCTGACTTTTTTTGTCCATCATGTTGTTTTCTGTGTTATAATTTTTGACCATCATGCATGTTCTGATGTTCTAACTTCTCCCAGAAGAAAAGGGCAGAAACAAAGATCACACCTTGGCCTTTTGACGGTTCTCCTCTTTAATTTCCTCCATTATCTTTGCTTCTTTTGGGGCTGTGTATGTGCTCTTTGGTACCTTCAAAGAACAAAATAATGGGTCAGTCACCTGCCTCAATACATTTAAAGTAAAATTAATCCCATATATTTTAGGAAAAGAGAAGACAGAACAGTAAAAATTGTGTGAGAAAATTAATGAAACTAACTGGTTTGTGTTTCTCCGGCTCGGGGGTCCGTTCTGGCAGAGGTGGGGGCAGATGAGGTTTGGGTTTGCTGAAGTTGAACTCCTGAGGCTGGGTAGTTTTAACTTTAGCTTTTGTGACCTGACTCCTTTGAGATRTTTTGGCAGCAAGCTGATCCATGAGACTATCGATCTCAGGGCGCCATCTAAAGGACACACAGACATGAACTTYTGTTCTTTGACTTTAAAATGACAGTAAATGTTGTCCAGTTGTTTTTTCACCCGAGTAAAGGAATAATCCATTGCTTCTCCACAAAGTCAGCATCGTAGAAGCTGCTCCACTCGTCTTGTATCCACGAGGTCAGGTTTGAGAAGAAAAAATTCAAAAACTGACAAAAAAACCCACCGTTACACAAGTAAAGAAGCTAGATCCATGTTTTTTCAAAGGTGTRWAGTAATTAARTACATTTATTTTGTTATGTKTAGGTAATTTTTTGAGGATTTGTAATTTTACCAAGTATTTTTGTAATCCCAACTTTCATTTTATTACATTCAGCACATAAAAATCATACTTTTACTTCTTTACTTTAAAGTTTGTCACCTAGTTACATGTTACAAATTAAAATATGACCAGARCTMATAATGTTTATGAAGTCTAAAAAAATTAGGGTTGAATTTACCAAGTTATRTCAACTGGTTCCACTAAACTGAGTTGAGTAGCCTAAACGTAAAGCAATTTACTCARCTTTAGTGGAACCAGTTTTTCAACAATTCACTTCATAGAGTAAAACGTTTGCTTTCTCAGTTATTGTGAGCAGTGTTATGACTTTTATTTAAGAACTTTTTTTATCAGTGAAATTATTTTTTTTATTAAAGTCATTCTCAGTGTTGTATAAAGTACCTCAAAGTGATACTTGAGTAAACGTACAAGTATCTTATCATAAAAATACTTTGGTAAAGTCTTCTCTAAGAATATTAATTGAGTAAAAGTTTTTGTACTTAAGTATCAAAAGTAAATTTCTGACACAAAATCTGCATAAGTATTAAAAGTAAAAGTTTTGAGTAAAAGTGAGCGGTTAAGATTTTCCTAAATGACATTTATTGGGAAGTGACTTCTGCAAAAAATATTTTTTCTAATGGTGTGCAGCTGTGATGGACTGTGTAAAAACTTATATATATTTATTTATTTATTTTATTTATTAAGTAATACGGTGTCAAAATGGTATATATTTATACTTCTCATCCAACCACAATTAAATTCACTCTATCCAGGAGACATTTTATCAGGATAGTATTTTTTTAATAATAACAACCCAGAATAAAATAGGAGTAAGGACTTTCTACTTATTATCCTTTTCAAAAATGTAAGGAGTAGAAAGTGCAGATAACTGTGTGAAAATGTAATGAGTAAAAAGTACGCTAAAGTATAGATAACCAAAATTTAAGTACAGTCACAAAGTATTTGTACTTAATTACTTATGTCTGTTAAATACCTCTGGTTTCTTTCACTGATGTGCTCAAAAACTCACCAAGTGCATCTTTGTAACGCCAAGAGATTCAATAATGTTGCCAAACTTCTCAAGTCCAAGTTCGTCAAGAGCAAACGTGACAAGATAACAGACGACTGAGGAGCAACAAATTTTCATTAACATGTCAGAGCTTATTCAGAGTAATGTTCAGGGCGTTAAAAGCTGAGGGTCTTACTTACTGACAAACTGGCTGTGATGACTTTTAGACAGCCAGTTTCTATTCTGGCCATAGAATGCACCGAYAACAACATCCAGCATCTTTTTATGCTCAATACATCCATAAACMACATCAAGAGTGAACTTCCTCAGTGGAACGTCTTTGTTCTGTACCTTAGAAAACAAATTATACAAGTTTCAATACAACTACACAAGCAGTAATATTTGTTTGCTTATGCTTACCTTTAGGTCCTGTAAAACATCTGGACATCTACCATCAGCTCTGAACTTATCCAGCAGCACACAGGCCTCCTGAATAAAAGAGCCACAGCTTTGGGCCATTTTAACTCAACTGAAAAGGCAGCAGAGGGGCAATTGTTACTGCAAAACTCTTACATTAAAGTTAGTAAAAAATAATCAAAAAGAAGATTAAATTAAAGGAAAAATGTTACACAAAAATAAAGAAGAAGAGGAGTTTTGTGCGTCTCTGACCTTTGACAGGTTCCGACGTCGCCTAGCAACACTAAACAAACGTAAACGGAAGTGTCTCCTTGCTTTTCCTACCTAACCCCAAAGACAAGAAAATCGTCTATATTCGGATTATGACATGTGTTTTGTTTTTTTTTTTTTTTGGGGGGGGGGGGGGGTGTTTTCGAACATTTAAGTCCCTTTTTGGTTTTAATCCAAACAGATTAACAGAATGGCATCTCGGTCCTTTGTTGGCTGCAATAACAAATGTTAATGACGTAGCGTGATGTGACGTCTCGGTGTTGCCTTCGAGTGTTATTGGAAATATCACGTTGAGGCGTTAAATTCCGCAGGAATGAGTGAAATAAAGTAAACACAGACAACCAGGTTTGGTTTGTGTATTTGACTTCGTAATTTGCGGAGAAAAGCTGATTTATAACATTTTTAAAATTCTTAAACACACATCACAACGAGGCTTATTTTATTTATTTTACTGAAATTAATTTTCATTGCTTTTTGTGTTTTATACAGTATACACACAAACGTTCATAAAACATTTAACTATTAATATTCATGCACAAGGTAATAAATTCATTTTTCAAAGTGAGAAAATTTTAGAAAATTTCCTCACAATTTTTGAAAAAAAAAAAAAAAAAAGGTAACAACTGTGTTATATTCCTGAGAGATTAAAGTAAAGCTACATTTGAAAGAGTAGCAGTATATTACTTTGAAGTTACCTGGTACATACTGGTACATAATGGGTACATATCATGCTCTTACAAAGCATGTAGGCTACCTGATACTTATTACCTGACACCTACATGGTACATAAGTACATGAGTACATGAGTACATAAGTACACAGTACACTGTATTTACAAGGTACTTACACAGCCCATACTTACCAGGCACATAGCCTACTTGGTGATCCTTGGGTACTTACGGGGTACCTGCACCTGAAATGCTCATGGTACTTACTGGATGCATACCTGATACTTACCAGGTGCTTATAAAGTACAACACATGCTTGATACTTACTTTGTTGTACTTAAGGGGCACATACACAATAAGTATAATCATTTTGGGTACTAACTACTACTAATGAGTACAGACCCATCAGGCTGATGTATACATCTGAAAGCTCTAAAATAAGCAAATGAATCTTTAAGAAAAACAACCTCTGACTGTACAAAAACAAACAACAATAAAATAAGTATAGACACTGTGTATGATAATAAAATCTGCACATTAAAATCATTACAAAGCTACATAAATCTTTCATACAGGAACAAATAAAAATACACTGAATTGAATGTGATGAAAATTAAATGACCAATTTGCTGCAATATCTATGTGCCTGAAAAACAAGAGAAACATGAGCTCAGTTTTTTTTTAGTCTCTGTAGGCCCACTAAAGTGTCCTGATGCATCGCAGTAACAACAACAGAGCTAATCGAGCCTATTGTTAAGCGATGGCCCTCTTTTGCATATGACTGACCTGTTTGTCCACCATGTGGAGGCAGTGCTTATAAGGCTGAGTTCACCTGAAACAGAGAAAACGTTTCACTAAAGAAGAACCCATCCAGAGGACCTACTTATTTTTTCTTTTTGATCTCTGTACTAAACTAATCTTAATGCCAAGGTGGAATGACTGCATTATCAAAGTTTAATAAAGGTTTATGAATTGCGCTTAGTTGCACGGTTTTGTTCCGAGCTGTCCTTGAAGRCAGCATCGTCTGGGAAAGTGGGAGGTGAATGTTGTCAACGTGACTGTCATCAAGAAGCGCTAGACTGGTGGAGAGAGACCAGCGGAGCCGTCGGGTCGGGTGGTGCTCCGGTGTATCGGCAGGAGTTACAAAGCGACCGGGCGGGTGGGAGAGAGAGGGACGGACAGGCTTGAGCGTCGGGATTTTTTTTAGGAAATATGGAGATAAATTCTCGAATATCTCCTTTGTTCGCGCTCAGAGCCGTGCTCTAGCGTTCAGGACAACTTAGGTACATTGTGTCTGTGTTCGGGAGCCCCACCGAGGCTAGCTGGGCTAGCAAGCCGACCGCCGCTGCGGGCACACGGGCAGGTACAGGAGGGCTGCTGCGGAGGGCTTGGTGACGAAGGAAGGTGGCCAAGTAACGATGAACCGCTTCCGAAAGTGGCTGTACAAGCCCAAGGTAAGTTCCTGTAGCTCTTCAAGCCGTGTCAGCGCTGCAGTAACTCGTTTTGTTTTATTATTATTATTATTATTAAAGCTGGAGATAGCTGCTAACATTAGCCTGTGTTCCTGATGTTTTACTGTATCAACCAGCTGCTGGCTCTTTGTTRATGCCTTTGTTTTGACGCTTCACTCTGCTAATCTTAATCTTATCCTTTGACAAATAAATAACTGATAAATAACAAACTCACCACTGCTTTTAACAGTTGACATACTGTATTGTCCCTGATGTATAAGTTTGATATTTAAAAGATGAGTTATGAAAAAGTAGTTTTAGTAAAAACATACACACACTAACTGATTATTCAAGATTAATTTGTTTTGACATATTAGTTCAATTTATTTAATTTACAATAATACAGCTAGATCTTTAATAAAACATTTAGTAATAAAAGTGTGTGGGTTATATCTGCTACAACCTACATTTTTCCTCAATATGATGTTTGTTTTTTTTTTGTGACTATTTAGTCTTGGATGACAATATTTTAAATAGCCTTAAAAGTGTATCAAATAAATAAACCTCCACAAATAAACAGGAGCATTGTTCAGTAACAACTCATCTGTGTTCGTGTTTGTTTGCTGTCATGGTGAAATAATTAGTGTCTGATGCTGATTCTCTCAAATTGGCTAATAATTGGTCAAACAGTCAGTTGCTAAATTAATGAGTAATTTTCAGGATCTAATTATTGCCAATCTAAATATTTTCTCTAAGAGAGCCATTGTTCCGACGTTGTTGTGTTTTTTTTTTATTTTTCAGTTTTGAGTCCAGTGTGCATTCAATTGTACAAAAGGTTGTTTAAAAGGCAAAACAATTAAAAAATAGCTGCCCATGAAAGGGGCAAAATCATCACTTTTTGGTTGAGCTCGAATGTGCCTGGACTCTGTAAATCAAGCTCAGAGTGTGGAAACCTGGCTGACACAGCAGAGGAAGTATTAAAGGCTTGGTTGCCTCGTTAAATGAACAGTTCGATATGWATTCGCCAACAGCAAGCTAATCTGTGCACGTTTCTCCAGGGTGTGAATAAATGTGATATTTACGTTTACCTTTTTTAGCAAAATTTCTCAAGAACCACTGAAAGGATTTCAATTAAACTTGCAGGGGGTGATCACAAGGTTCGTGTCAACAACCGATTAACTTTTGGAGTCARTYGGATTCAAGATGKCTGCCACAGCCAGCCGTTATTCTGACAATTTTACAAAAATTGAGCTCGAATCTGGCATGGTAACGGCTGAGCATTGTCTCCAACACGTACTTCCCACTAGGGCTGCCACAAACGATTATTTTTATAATCGATTAATCACTGATTATTTTTTCGATTAGTCGACTAATCGGATCATAAGTTAGTTGAATATAAAACATACAGCTTATCGTTCCAGAATGCAGCTGCTATTAAATAACCATGGTTAGATTTTAGCTATATGCTAACTACAAATAATTGCTGTGGAAGGCAAGTTCTGCTCTGCAGATAYTRCACAGGTTTCTCTTTCATTTTCTTAAAATGAKCCCACACTTTTGAGCTCCGTTGCTGGGTAGCCATGATACCAGAGCCTGTCCGTATAATGTCTTGTGACGTCCACGGCCTACCCCAGTTACCACTACTGTGCATGTGTGTCAAGGACAGAAAGGCAGATGTGGCARTGGAAGGTGKCAAAGCAGTTTGGAGAGAAAAACAAAGTAAAGAACAACAAAAAAAAGAAAACGATTAATCGATTATTTTAATAATCGATTAGTCGTCGACTAATCGACTAATCGTGGCAGCCCTACTTCACACACATCACATGACACCTTCGCTTAAAACCTTGGCATTACCTGCTTGAGTCAGCCCTGTTTGTCCGTCAGCAAAATATCTCAAACGCCGCTGGATGGATTTCAATAAAACTCTTGGAAATGAAATTTTATCTGTACATCTACAACTGAATAAATTTTGGAGTCAACCCAATTCAATATGGCTGCCACAGCTAAYGGACTTTAGCCACAATTAATGTCAGAAACGTTTACTGATATTGAGCTTAAATTTGGTGTGAGTAGTAATTGTAGTGCTTTACAACCCCAGATCCCAGAGACAGACATTTGACTCAGTTTCCAGAAATCAAAAGTCACACATCAGACTTATAGGATTTAATTAAGTTAATCTGGAATGTATTTTAAATGGTTTTATACATTATGAGCAACATTCATGACACAATGATATTTATGTATGTATGTATGTATGTATGTATGAATGTATGTATGTTTGTTCATTTGTAACATGACCAGCAGTAGCTGACACCTATTTGCATTACATATTCCAAGCCCTACCAGGCCATGCAAGACCTCACTTGACCTCGCGTAATGTTATTTTTAAGAATMAACTATGGCTAAAGTGCTATTTCTCCATGATCTTAGTCAAAAACTCTGGCATAAAAGGTGTCAGGCAATAAGCATTCCTTCAAAATATTTACCTTTAATTCATCGTACACTGAGTCTGCAGCTGTTGTAGTAAAAATCACCTGTTAAGTCTTATTAAACTAAATCTACAACCGGAGTCTTTCCAACAGATAATGTCAGAGTGGGTTCTGATCAAAGCCCTTTGATTGCATGTTATCCACCAACTCTTGGCCGCACACACTCACCTGCGTCATTCCCCTTTTCTGTGTCAAACCAGGTTTGCTGTCACAGCGAGTTTGTGCTCCATTGTTGTGGTTAAAGGCCAAAGTGTTGGGGTTCACYAGCGCATTGTTGCATTCGTTAATGACTCCTGCCTCAGAGGTGCTGGGGGTATTGCATCATTGCCTTTATCTGCCAAAAAGCACCCATCCTAGGAATTAAGCACATAGGTCTGAGATTTAAATGATCTTTTCTGCCTCAAAGGAGGAGGAATAAGATGCGTAGCATCTCTGTAATTTAGCCATCTGGCACAAAAAGACAGCAACATTAAGACTGCTTTATGCTCCTGATCCTGAACTTTAATTTTTTTATTTTTTTCACTCTGAAAGAACGTATTTCTGTTATCTGTGCCTATCTTCTTGTGTTCTTCCTTTTATTAACAAACACTGTGTGGATTTGTCATTTCACATCAACAGTAAGCAGTTTATCTCTGAACTATGTACTCCTGGAGATAGAGAAGTGTTGAATCAGCACGTTCCCCTTGACTGAAGCGTGGATATTGATATTTCCAGAACTGCTCTCTACCGCCCTGGACGAGTCCCATAAGAAGGACTTTCTTGTGCCTCTGATACACAGTCCCTCGCTCAGACGTGTGTGAGAAATCATGTTTTTATTTTTGTTTTGTGTCCAATCAGTCATCAAAGTGGTACCTCCTGGAAAATGGATGTCCTTGTTCACTATTATGTTGAACAAGAATCACTACTGCAGTCATCTCATGATATATGATACGCTATTGTGAAGCAGTGTCATTTTATATTGCTTTAAGGCCTTTAAACCAGTTCAAGTTTTATCTCCATGAGATCTCTGTGTGTCAAATTCACCAAAGAGTAACCTTTTAGAAGAGGCAAAATCAAACATCTTGTGTCATGTTGTTGTGTCATTTTGTGACAGTTGCAAAGATAAAATGTTGGTTTCAAGCAGCTAAAATGTTTCCTCATTTGTCAGATCAGAGTTGCGGCACAAAGAGCCTGAAATACGTCCAGAAAAAAAGGAAAAAGTTCATGTATCACTCAGAAYAGGCTAGAAGAGGGAAATGTTTTGTACAGAAAAAAGTGAAATCTTAATAAGAAAAAAAATAAAATTAAAAAAACTTTCTGATGTAAATATTCCTGGGTAGCTGTATTTGTAAAACCATTTGGGTTAATTCAAATACATTCTAAAGTTATATATTAAACATGCAAGCAGCTGCGCTGGGTTTAAATCTAAAAACATGCATGTTCAGGCTCAGGCCCCAATCGACAAATAGACCTCTGATCTCAAAGGGATTTACATGGTTAACTAAAGAATAAAGTCATTTTAAACAATTAAAAAACTTGTCCGGGATGAAATCAGACTTGTTCAACAACTGATGGTTTTGATAACGAAACTTAAAGTTGCATTAATCATTCCCTCAGTGTATCTGTATAAACTGAACTGTATTGGCTAAGTGATATTTATCATTTAATCTTTGTTTTTTATTTTGTAAYTAACCAATACTTGTGAAATCTGTTGATAATAACAAATTTTGCATGTTGCTTTTTATAAACGGCCCGAATGAGTTTAAACAAACAATTAGGATTTTTTTTAAAAATGTTACCTGCTAGTATGAACTGATAGATTTTGATAAATGATAAATTTAATAAACTGACAGTTTTATTTTTACTTGTGAATAAAGTTTACAGGTTTTCAGCTTCGTAAATGTAAGAGTTTGGCAYCATAAATGGAATAACTTTGAAATGTAATGATCTTTATTTTTAAGGAACCTATCAATATAAATATACATTACAGTGTTTTATTAGAACAGATGAATAATAGATCATTGTAGCTGTTATGAGCTCAGTCTCTAAATAACTATAAACATTAAATGTGCTTCTCGGTGGGTTACAAAACCGTACATTTTATTTATTTGATCTAATTAAACTGTAGCTGATTTATCGTGTTTTTCAACCTGCTGTAGCAGGGAAGCCCTGACAAGTCGGGGCTTTGTCTTTGCAGTGTTTGGTTCTGCACAGTTGGCCCAGAGTTGMTGAAATTGGATTCTGCTGAGCAGTTGCCGGGGCGGCTTCATATTTAGGCCAGTTTCTGTAGTTCTTTGTGGACGTCCCATTCTGCTTACCCACCAGCCATGTGGTAATTGATTTGGTGTCAGCTGTAGGGATTTACAGAGCTGACCCCGGTGCAGAGTGAGACAGGCCGGGCGATTGAAAGCCTTTTTGAAATTCATTGCAGGCCGGAGGAATCTGGGCCTCTGTAGTCCAGGGTGTTGACGGGGTGATGATTGAAGGAAAGTAGCTGTAGACGAAGTGAGATTTAAAGGTGACACAGAAAAACCGAGATCCTGACCTTTGCTGGGAGTTTGCRCTCATTTTCTTCACCTTGGTTTTTCTGATAATAATTGCTCCCTTCTTTGATCAAAGGCCCTTCAGAATCTCTCCGTCATGGTCACTGATGATAAACCTGAATTATTTATTCAAGGTGCCTCTTGTCTCTTTTAGGAGAACTACAGTGCCCTGAAACAGCCAGTAGATAACGGCGTCGCCTCGGCAAAGGATAATTTATTTATTTTTTTTTATCTAGGAGTGTGCTTTTATTTTAGTTTTTTAGTTGTCGTTCTAAAAATTATCATTGAAAGTTTTTTTTTTTCAGAAGATAACTTAAAATCAGAGTGCTGAATGACCTTGTTAAAGTTCTCTAAAGAAGCTGAAACAGTTGTTAAAGTTGGAACAAGGAGAACAGAAGCTGAAAGGAGCGGAACAGCAGCCAAAAGCTAAAATAAACGAACTGATCGCTAAGAGCTAAAATTAACAAAATGATAAATGTTAAAAGCTAAAAGTAAAATCAGAAGACAAAAATAAGAAAAATAAGCCAATTTTACAAAAATAATGCTTTTGAAATATTTAAAGATATGATTGTATTTCTACATAGGAGTTCTTTTAAATAAAATCAAGTATTTTGAAAAGTGTAAAAGTTATAAATATTAAAAGTCATTCTWGTTTTGATATGTGAAAAGTTAAAATATGCACAAAGTATGACGAAGTAGTTGGACTCCAAGAAATGTACAGAAGACGCTAAAACAATAATGAATTCTGACTTAGCATTCACAACACTGAGGAGAGAATAATAAGACACATTGAACTGAAACAAAGTTTTCCTAGAGCAAAAAATAATAATAATTTTGAAGAAATATAGATCAGTTTTTCAGTGTATTTCTGTAAAACTGAGGTCTTAGAAGATATATGTTCTCTCCTAGGTGAAAAAATATGTTGTCTAAACCGTTTTAATCTCAACAAAGCCATAAAAATGCACAATGTTCATATATAGTAGTTCCTGTGTGTCATTTTGGACAGCCTGTCTGTTGCCCACTTTCAGTTACTCAGTAAGAGAACAGAATTAGCTCGGCTCTGAATCATGAGCATATTTAACTGAGTTTTTATTTAGATGAGTCAAATCTCTTTATTTAGTCTTGTCATCTCTCCAGGACTCACGCACTGAGAGGCAAATAAAAAAATGTCAAAGTTGTTGGTTTTTCATTTAATTGTCCTTCTTCTTTGCTGCTACAGTTTTACCATCAGTTTTAGATTGTATAACTGGATTATGTCTTGCATAAGAATGCCCTTGTGGTGGTTGGAAGGGGGTTCTCCCCCATGTGTTGCCACACTACCATCAGGGGATCCTGGACATGTTCTCTATCCACCTAAATCCTCGGTGAACTCGTGTCTTACTTCTGTCTGTCATACCATGTGCCAGGTTACGGCTGGAGTCCATACGCCAGATTAGGTCAGACCTCAGAAAGGAGACGAGCGCACAGATTATGCATCAGTCCAGATGGGCAGACTGCTCTGAGTATAATGAGTCAATGAGTTGCATTAAATCGTCCACTTTGACTTTAACTCTGCATTCAGCTTGTTAGTGCAGAACCGCTCCTCAGTTTAGTTGTGCTTTTCAAATAAACTCCTTGAAATGTGACCAGAATTATTTTAGGGCAGCTGGAGTTTCTCATTGAAAAGTTGCCTCTGTAGCTGCACCAAACCACTCAGAGGTAGGAGGAAAAATCCTGATGCAAGCTGAACATGAAAGGAATGAGTCAACACAACTAGATCTGCTTCAGCARACGCCTGCATTCTCAGAAAGCTTATACTTTTTTCTCTCTGCCAAACCTCATATAAATGACTGTAAAGAAGTTTTGTTGTTACCAGAACCATCAGCTTCCTTTTGCTGCGGCTTTTACGCTGAGTTCTGAATAATTAAAAAAGTGATGAACTGTACTCAGCGGCCTTTTTAGCCAGTCTGCTAGTGGACTGAATGAAAGCACAGATAACTGGATTCTCCCCCTTGCTACAATATTTGCCTCTGATTCCTGGAAGGCGGCCAGAACGCAGCAAATTGAGCCCGGAATAGAGTACGGAGGGCAAAGGCAAGGTTTCCTCATAAGTCCCTTAAGTGGGCTCAGTATGCACGCACCGTTGCAGTGGACGCTCAGAAAGCATTAGCCTGACAGCCGTCATCATCTGTGCAGCCTGAACTGAAGTGAAGATCAGAATCGGCAGCTCCAGCAGTGATCTAGATGACATGAGAAAAATGTTGGCGATACAACTGTCAGTAACACATTTCCACAACAGTCACGCTGTCATTGTTTGTAATGGAGGAGATTTGAAACAAAACAAAGGTAAAATTTTTTACTGAGTCACAGTGAGTTGATGTTTTGGGGAGAGCTTAGGAGTAATTGTCACCCTGGATGAACTTAAGGATTTTTAATGATCCAAAATGAAGGGTTTGTGGCTGCAGCGAGGGGAGACTCAGAGAGCGGCCTGACAGCTGACAGCAGGAGCATAACAGGAGACTGGCAGGCCACCGCAGACAAAAGCTGAATGTGCTGAATCATTTCACCTCTAATGCACAGCAGGGCTGTCATTGGTGGTTTTGGTGCATGTTGAAAAGTCAGGACTCAAATGATCACATCCATACATTTATAAGAATATTTACACAGTAATAGAAGGTCCATGAATTAGTTTATATATTCAGTATTATGGGAGCTTCATAAAAGGGACTGTTCAGATTTACTGTCCTATATTTTGGGTTAATTATATCAAATTTTGTGGCTAAATGCTGAAAAGTGTACTTATGGGGCACTGTATAGACAAACGCGTTCGAAAGAAGTAAAAAAAAATCATTGGCGAAACAGATGAGGAAAATCAAGCCCTCTTTGGAGCTCTGCAGCTTAGACATACAGTACTTCACAATAGAAACATAATTTAAAGATTAAATGAGTCACAGAAAGTTTGACTTTACATGGCTGAGCTGGCTTTTTGAAATGTTTAATGATTTTTACAAAATCGCAGTTTAAAAGGGGAGTTTTATTCAAAATCAACTTTTTTGAGCTTCATATCATGTTAAAATGTCATTCCCTCATCAAAAACATACCCTGAGTGTTGCTTTGGCTCATACATGTGTGTTTGAGAAATCCTTGAATCTCCTGTCTCCTATATATGTACAGGGACCTAACAGCCTATTTTAAAGGGCTTGGTACCCCATACCCCCAACAGGACTCCCTGAGTGACAGAGTCCTACGCCTTCTCGAAGTCCACAAAACACAAGTAGACTGGTTGAGTGAACTCTCATGCACTCTCCAGGACCCTGCTGAGGGTGTAGAGCTGGTCCAGTGATCCACGACCAGGACAAAAAACACATTGCTCTTCCTGAATCCAAGATTCAACTATCCGATGGACCCTCCTCTCCAGGACCCCTGAATAGACCTTACCAGGGAGGCTCAAAAATGTGATCCCCTCTGTAGTTGGAACACACTCTGTGGCCCCCTTTTTCAAATAGGGGGACCATCACCCTGGTCTGCCAATCCAGGTGAACTGCCCCCGATGTCCACACAATATTGTAGAGTCTCATCAACCAACACAACCCTACTAAGATCCAGAGCCTTAAAGAACTCCGGGCAAATCTCATCATCCCCTGGCACCTTGCCACCAAGGAGCTTTTTAACCACATCAGTGACCTCAGCACCAGAGATTGGAGAGTCCAACCCAGGGTCCCCAGGCTCTGTTTCCTCAATGGAAGACGTGCTGGTGGGATTGAGGAGGTCTTCGAAGTATTCTGCCCACCKACCCACDWHGTCCCGAGTTGAGGTCAGCAGCGCACCATCCCCACCATAAACAGTGTTGGTGGTGAAACCCACACCCCCCCCCCCCCCCCGGTGATGCTGGATGGTGGACCAGAATTGCCTCAAAACCCCTACAAAAGTCTTTTTCCATGGCCTCTCCAAACTCTTCCCAAGCCTGAATTTTTGCCACAGCGACAACCCAAGCTGAATCTGCTTAGACTGCTGGTACCCATCAGCTTATTCCAGCGTCCCACAGGCCAAAAAGACCCAACAGGACTATTTTTCCAGCCTGACAGCATCCTCAACCAGTGGGTTTGAAGGTTGCTGCCACAACAGGCACCGCAAATCTTGCGGCCACAGCTCTGGCAAGCCACCTGAACAATGGAAGCACAGAACATGGCTCACTCAGACTCAATGTCCCCCACCTCCCCTGGAATGTGTTCATAGTTCTCCTGGAGGTGTGAGTTGAAACTCTGTCTGACGGGAGACTGCCAGATATTTCCAGCAGAACCTAAGTATACCCTTGCATCTGCCAGGTCTGACCGGCATTCTCCCTTACCATCTGAGCCAATTCACCACCAGGTAGTGGTCAGTTGAAAGCTCCGCCCCTCTCTTTACCCAAGTGTCCAAGACATGYGGCTACAGATCAAATGAGACGACAACAAAGTTGATCATCAAACTGAGGCCTAGGGTGTCCTGGTGCCAAGAGCACATGTATAGACACCCTTATACTTGAACATGGTGTTTGTTATGGACAATCCATGACAAGCTCAGAMGTCCAATAAGAAAATCCATGACAAGCTCAGAGGTCCAATAACAAAACACTTTTAAAGTCCCCCAGCAGAACAAGGAAGTCCYCATGAGGAGTGCTCTCCACCATCCYCTTCAAGGACTCCCAAAAAGGTGGKTAATCTGAGTTGCTGTTAWCCGCRTAAGCACRAACAACAGTCACAACCTGTCCYCCCCACACRTAGGCAGAGGGAGGCTACCCTCTCACTCACTGGGGTGAACCCTAATGTACAGGCATCAAGATGGGGGGCAATAAGTATGCCCACTCCTGCTCAGYKCTTCTCAGGGCAACTCCAGAGTGAAAGACTGCCCAACCCCTCTCAAGGAGAGTGGTTCGAGAGCCAAAGCAGTGTGTCGAGGTGAGTCCAACTGTATCTAGTTGGAACCTCTCAACCTCACGCACCAGCTCAGACTCCTTCCCCACCAGAGAGATGACATTCCATGTCCCTAGAGCCAGCTTCTGTAGCCGAGGATCAGACCGYCAAGATCCTYGCTTTCAACCACTGCCCATTACTCAGTTGTAACTGTTTTCTCTCAAATTTTCTTCAAAACTTTTAGTAAAGCATCTTTAACTTCTACATAAAACACTGTAGACGCATAAAAATGCAGATATATGACTATCAGAGTCTTCTGCTGTTCATGATTCACATATTTTTCAGATCTGATGTAKGTCATTTTTTGGTTGGAACCTTTATTTTCCTGCCTACAATGCTACAGTTTATTATGTCARCTGTTTCTACAAACATGGGAACTGGTTTGGTTTCCTGCCTGTTTTGCTTTTTAGAGCAACATCTAACCTCATCACTGACTCATTCCATGTAACAAGGTAATTATAATCAGCAGAGGCCATGGATCTCAATGTCCAACTGAGGATCGGTCTGTGTTTTATTAGTAGATTTCTCGGCCCTGGATATCCAGTTGAGTGAGTAATCAGTTTAAATGAAACATCTGTTGTGCTCTTCAGTCAAAACTAATCAACTACGCAAGTAGGGCGCTGCAAATAAAGCTGTTTCTGGAAACTAAGCGGGATATAAAACAACATTTAGTCAAGCGTAACGTCAAACTAAAGGCAATTTTCTCCCCAAAGCTTCATTTTATGCAGAGATTTTTTTTAGCACGTCAATGCTGTGGCTGGCACCTAATTATTTTTTTAAAATTTAAATTATTTGATAGAAATAATTATCACATAAAGGAGTTTGAGTGTTCTACTCAGTTTACGCATCTGGAACTAGGCCAAGTCTGAACTTGTGAACAGCTGGTGCAACAGGCTTCAGGTTATCACGAGTGTCAGAAATGAGGGTAAAGACATCTTTAGAAAAAACTCAGTCCTTTTATATCTCTCATGAAACACATGATCAATGATTATCTACCATACGCCAAAGGAAAAAGCTCAACTCTCTATCTAAAAGTAGATTTACATGCAGTGAACATTGCCTGTCTTTGACTTTTCCTCCATGATTCAACACTGCAGGAATGTTCTCTGTTGTGCGAGCACTACAGCAGGAGGAGACTGTAGGATGGCGTCTGTTTCAAAYGCCTCTTGTCTTCCTCCCTCAACGTCTGCCTATATGCGTCCGAGTAAATGCCACCCGTTTGTGGGCTGTCACATGCCTGGGCGAGAAAAAAAAAGCTTTTTCACCATCTCCCACTCCTGTTTCCTGTTTGGTCATCGTGAAATTTATTCAACATGGTACACTTGCTCATTGTTGTGAAGCTTTTCAGTCAAATCTGAATCGTAACCCGTGAGGCGCCAAACTCCTCAGAGGTTAAATTTAGACATACAGATAAAAGCTTCTCTTGTGGTTGGTTTGGTTTCTTACAAGATAATTAAGGCTGCCTTTGAGAATTTCTCATTAGCCCATTCATCCTTACTTTTCTATTGTGGTGACAAATACAAGACGTGAATAATTACATTTTTGTTTCTGCTGTTTTTTTATTTACAGTAGATTGGTTTGATTTAGGTTAGTAGTAAGTAAAATGTGTTGGACTGGCAAACAAACTGGTGGGAAATAATAATCCACTGAAGATTTTTGAACAAATGAATTTTGGTTCTGCTCTTGCTTTGGAACTCTTAATGCACTTTGCGAATCGATTATGATTCCAAGGGCTGCGATGCAAATATAACACTTCAAACAAAATCCTGAGCATATAATCTCCCAGGTCTAAAAAAAACTAAATATCTTCTCTGTTCAGCAGCATAAAACAATTTTTATTCAGACAAGATTATGGGAACTAAATGAGCACAGAAAAGGAGTCAAAATGCTGACCTAACCTAAACTTCTGTAGTGATGGATATCCATGCATCACATTAGAGATGTTTCATCCACTTTATTCAGTGTATCCATGATTTTTTTTTAAATTATTTTTTTTTGGTCCTGCTGTAAAGTCGAAATGACTGCAATGATCATCTATCATGGTTTCAAACTGCAAAACATAGCACACAAGCCCTGGTTTTTCAGTCACTGAGGGCAGATGCAAATCCTTCACAATAAAAGTTGCAGAGGACTTTGTAATTTGTTCCTTTGAGTTGYTTGAAAACTGATTTTTTTGAAGTGTCACATTAGAAAAGGTTGATGGAAATGGCAAAATTCGACAAAACTTCCTCAATTTCACAAAAAAACATTTTTACGCTCGCTTGAGGTATTTTTGGATTTTCAAAAAAAGAGTTAATGCGCAAAAAGGAGAAATGAAAACATATTTGCCAAATAAGTTCTGATGTAGCTAAYATTTACCTCACGATTGATCAGCTGTCCCCGCTGTTGGCGTCTTCTAAGATATTCCCATAACGTGAAGAGAATTGCATTTATTTCTCTACGTCTCCGGACAGCATGTAACATGGCTAATAATAGTTGATATAACAGTATAATTACAACTTGCCTGATAGCAACACATTCCTGAAAACTTCTCTCTATTGTCCGGAGATGTGTGGTTTCTGTGAGTGTGCAACCATTACTTCCTGTTTACTACAGCCACATCAGTGTCGGGTGCAATTACACTTTACATAGCCTGGTGGATTTGCTCCAAAGCAGTTGATAGAAATATTCCTGATTCACATTTCTTTTTTATAAATCATTTTTGTGACATTTTAAAAGTTCGCTCAAAATTTGCATTACAATTAGATGGAATGGTGGCTACAGAAAACTTTGACCACTAGCTACAAGTACCGGTGATATTAATGTCATCTCATAAATACTAGTGCTATGAAAATTAACTGTTTAGATTGAACAATGAAGTTTTACTATTTGGATTAAACATACACCAAAACATTCAAAAAACAGTAATAAGTGTGGAGTACCTTTACCAAAAACAGCGTAGGTCTATCCATACATAATTTGACTCTCACAAAGAGACAATTTGGCTGCTAAAATTACGTTGTGGCCATTCCTTAATTATTTTTTATCCAATGTCATTGGATGATCTCCATTAGTAATTTACTTTATCACAGCAAATATCAGTTTTTGACGTTTTTAAATTGAAAAGAAAAATATGTTAATAGATGATATCCCTCACCTCTAGTCTGTTCTATTCAAGTGATGTTTGTGATCAGTTCATTTCTGATTTGCATGTGGGGAAACAAAAACTCTTGTCCTTCAGAGTTCTTGTGATTTATCCAAAACTAATCTAACTGTGAGGGGAGACAATAAAGGATATAAAACACCAGGTATAAGTTAGAAACTCTACCTTGGCATACATAATATGTCGTGGTAATAACTTTTGTGCAGATGCTTCTTCAGTGGAGTTTTTCCTCATGCAGTTCAGCTGTTGGGCGGATCTCAGTATTTTCTCTTTTCTGTTTGTTTCATTATTAATGAGAAGCACTGAGGGAAGCGCACTGTGTATCATATTCACTGAGAAAAGCAAGGGTCTTAGGGGGAAGCGTCATGCAACATGAAACACTACAAACTTCAGGGAAAAGGAGAGGTTTCAGAAAATCCCAGCATTCCGCTTTTTTATTTATTAATTTTTTTCCCTTCTCGTCTTGTGAAAACCGCCTCCAACACAATGAAATCGTGGCAGGGAGATGAGGTTGTTAACCACCAAAGCTGTCCCTTCTTCCTCAGCCATCCTGTCCCTTTAAGCTCCTGAGTCTTTACAGGGACCGTGTGTTTCTGTGGTGTTGCACTTCGGCATGTGGCTGCCATTTCCAGAAGCATTAACCTTTTGGTCAACACCCACCCTTCTCGGAATGTTTCTGTGTTTATGGATGCATGAAGTGGTTTTGGCAGGTTGATTGCCTCGTAAACTTGGATTGATAATTCAGTTTTACCTAGACCTTAGCAAAATCAGTGATTGGTTTTTGAGTTTATATACATTATAATAGGACCAAGTCGACTCTGTCCTGGGAAAGCTTCTCTCTGTATTGATTCTGTTTGTTTGGTTTATTTAGAACAAGTTAACTCAAAACAGATACTCATTTTAGGCAAAGAATAGAGAAACAAAAGATCAATAAAAACTTACAAAGAAATAATTGTTATTAAAAAGTGCACAAGTATCGCTACACTTTTTTTTGTATAACTTTAACTAACTCATCTCGTTGGGATTAATGCCGTTTTTAAAAACTGTTTTACATACATGTTGAGAGCAGTGTTTTCTAAGAATACATGATAGACTTTTAGTTCCAAGTTAGTGGTCAGTTCAGTGTTTTCAGATTTGTGCTTGATTATCCTAGCAGCTCTTTTAACACGTTTTTTGTCTGTTATGATTGGTTTTTCTCCTCCTCAACAGGAAAGAAAGAATGAGCTATATTGCCTCAATATTGTACAATATTATGTACAACATAGTAAATACATGCCAATGTTCCCTTGATGATTTAAAACTCAATGAACTTAACAACAAGTGGAAATCCTGGGACTCTGCTGTGTTTTTGTTTTTGAGGCTGTGAAATTAAAAAAAAAGATCATAGCAATAAATACTTTCTGACCAGATGAAAAAGTCATATGTTTATGAAAACCTTCTAAAAATTAGTCACCTAATCTTAAAAAATAAAGCTTTTTGACTGGCTTTACATTAATTAAATTAAATTATTACTGTACACCAGCAGTAACTTCAAATGAAATGTGTTATTCTGTGAAGCTGAATAAAGTTCAAATTGTAATCAACATGTTAGGATTATTTTATACTTATCAGTCTTCTTTTTGCTTCAAATGTGTGATAATTTCAAGTAAAATGTTTAAGTTTAATTTTTTGCTTCCTTATGAGCACTTTGCTCCCTTCTTGTTGACCTGCCCTGTCCTTTGTTTGGGGTCATGTAAAGGTATTGTTTGCTGTTGCGTTCAGTAATTTCCTCTGTAAACATTGTCCACCTTTGAGGAGTAAAATTAGGTCATGGCTGCAGGAAGTCTTGTGTCTGCAGCTTAACAGTCAGCTGGGACATTTAACCTTTTTGTACCAACTTGGTCTCTGCTGTAAAATTAGTTTTTTTTTTTGTAGAATAAAAACGTTTGAAAGTTTGCCAAAGATGTTTTGGCAGAATATTATTTTGTAAAATGTTATTCTTAAGAATTGGTTATTGTAGTCTAGTTTTATTTATAACCCTTGGTGTTTTGTTTTAAAGATAATTAGCGTTTATTAAAGACATTTTTTCTGTAACACTAACAAAGACGACCTCCTCTTGTTTGTTTGTGTCTCTGCACAGAGGACGGACCCTCAGCTCCTGGCCCAATTCTATTACGCTGATGAAGAGCTCAACCAGGTGGCCACTGAACTGGACAGCCTGGACGGCAGGAAAGACCCTCAGAGATGTACCCTGCTGGTCAACCAGTTCCGATCCTGTCAAGTCAGTACCGAGAACAAATGAAGTTATCATCTTTCCCTGCCTTCCTGTGTAAACGACGCACAAAAATAGACCTTAAGTGGAGCAAAGCTGGCATCAAGATGAATTAACCCTCAGCTCGTGTTTCATTCTGAGCCATGATTGCTTGTTTTTATTTTCAGAWTCCTTTCTTTCACATAATCACCTACTCTTACCATTGATTTGGTCTCAAAAATGAAAATAGCAAGTGTCCTTGTTATTTATTCCTGGATGCAGTCATGGTGACTGTTTTACCAAACACTACTTGGCTAAATTCCTGATAAGGTGAGATGGGTTGAGGTTTTCTGGAAGCAGTCCGTTTCATCTTGGCTTAAACAGCACACTGAGCGATGTGTCATGGGCAGGTTTTTAGAAAAACCCTGTAAAACCTGCACTTTTTGCCAAAGAAATTACATTTAGAATCAGAATAAATTCACGAGTTCAGTAAAATCTGAGCGACAACAATTTAAAGAATAGTCTTAAGGTAAGGTAGTAAGTTTCTGCACTGTTTGCAGAGGTAAAAGCTGTTGTTTTAGGTGTTTATAGCACTGACAGAGCAGGAATTAATACAGGTAGTGGGGGGAGGTTTCATCTGGCCTGTTGTGCCTTGTGCTCCCTCCCACTGGCAGGGCACGCAGGGAGAACCACTTAATAAGGTCATCACTTGATCCCTGGTGGTTCTGGTTCTTCCTTTTCCCTGCCAAGCTGTCGCCTGGGTTTTCTTCAGAGTTTATTTTCTGTCATATTTTTGTAGTACCTGGAAGTAATCCACATTTTTCCCACAGGTCTTTTTAAACAGTTTCTCGAGCTCTCTGTTCTTGTACGTTCTTTTAAAGTTTCTCTCAGGACAGTGACTGCGTGTTAAAATGTATTTTCAGTCCTAAGTCTGTCCCATTTGAGTTGTTTGTTGTTTTAATCAGTTTTACTCGAGAGATGAACTAGCTTGCCACACCTTATCTGCATCTGTAAATTGTATCCTGTTGCTGGCAAACTATATATGACTGTTATTTTTTGAGTCCTAGAAAAGCTATAAGCCAGAATTTTGCTATATAGTGTTTGAGTTTTAAGAATGAGTAGAACTGGATGAGCAGAGAGTAAAAAGAAAAGGACTTTGAAAACTACAGAAGGTGAACTGGTGTAATGGTGATGTCCTTTAGCACCGATCCTCTGTCAGCAACAACCTGACGCAGGACCTCAAAGATTCTTCATCTTTTAATTGATCAGCCGAAGATTAACCAGAAATGGTTGGAATTTAAAGGTTTTGTCAAGAAGTCGTTCTAAATAAATTAAAATGGAGAAATAAAGGCTGATGTAAGCTAAAATATACATGAGATAAACTGAAATTTTCATGGTAATAGKGTTTATAAAATGAATAATTCAAATGCTGAACCTTTTGTCTCAAGCTCAAGACTTTATTCAGACAAATGTGCTCTTATCCTACCAGACTCGCAGCACCTGGAAGCTTAACACAAGTGAAAATGACCATTTGTGTCCCGTTTGGAGAGATTCAGTCAACACATGTTCACACAGGAATAAGTGGTTAAGCTCTCCTTCTCAGAGTTTTTTTTAAATCTTTTCCTTGGGCGAGCAGAGAAAGACAGAGTTCTTTTCCTGATACAGTCTACAGCACAGCTGGGATTCAGTAAAAGACTCATTGTAAGTCATTGTTATGGCTGATAAACATGCCAGCAGCACATAAGTTCCTGATTTGTTCATGTTGTGTGTGAGACATTGTGTTTTCACTGCTGGAGCTTTACTGAGGCTGAACATCGCTGTAGGGCCGTAATGATCTCATGTTCTTGTCAAATTGTTTTTATTTCTTTCCTAATCAAATGTCTTCAAGCAAGGCAATTTAACTGATCTTCTTAAATGGGTGRCAGATGGATGCGGATTAGTAAATAACATTAATTAAACAAGGCTGCCTATCGTTTCTGTCCGTCCTCCCAACTTGTTTGCTCAATTTGGTTTTCTGTCACTTTTGTGTTTTGTCTGCAGGACAACGTGTTGAACGTTATCAGTCAGATCATGGATGAATGTATCCCCAACGACAGGGCCAACAGAGACTTTTGTGTCAAGTTCCCGGAGGAGATTCGTCATGACAACTTGGCGGGGCAACTGTGGTTTGGAGCTGAGGTAGCGTATTCCCTCCTGCATCAGCCTGGAAGAAAACAACCTCACAAAGTCTCTATTTCTGTTTTACATGAGCATTGATAATTGATGGTCAAGAGTCAGTATTAACTCTCGTAGACATAATTAACGGTGTACRTGTTTCTGCTTAGTGTTTGGCTGCAGGCTCTATCATTATGAACCGGGAGATAGAAAGTATAGCCATGAGACCCCTGGCTAAAGACCTGACTCGCAGCCTGGAGGAGGTACGCAACATCACAAGAGACCAGGCCCTGAGAGACCTTAACCTGTACACAGACCGCATGAAGGAGGCGTTACGACATTTTGACAGCCTTTTTGCTGAGTTTGAACTCAGGTAAGTCAAAGAGACATTATTGCATCCTCAAAACTAAACCACATCTGCAGGGTTTTCCCCAGAAAACCAGCTAAGCCCRGTGKTTGGGCCGCTTTGGCAGCCCACTATGTTTTTGTTAAAAAAAWWTTTTAAGTTGACAAGAAATTTGGTGATATAATGTAAAGTAAATATGTGTTATTGTAAAACATTTGTTGACAATACCAAAACACCAACTGTAGCGTGGATCACCAACCTTTTTTGAGGCTTAGAGCTACTTCAGGGGTACAGAGTAACAAAAAGGACTACTTGTTTGATACAAACATCAATTTACACGGCTTACCTTKAATTATAGTATTAATTAAATATTAATAATGATAAATGTATGTATATGTGTATATACTGCATGTCTCCCTGATTACATCTTAATGTTAAAAACTCACAAAAATGATCAATAATAATAATGGACTATGGTTGATATGATAAATCGTTCATAATAAGTGATTACAACTCAGATCTCAAAGTTCTCAGTTTTAAAACATTCTGGAGCTAGTTGTGTGTGGAGTGAGACGAGCCGCGCTGCCCCAGTCGGACCATGGATTTAAAAACCTAACCAGTCTATTAGGAAATTCATATACATGAACAACACATCAACAACAACAAACTAAATAACAYAACACACCACGCTACTGGGTTTAAAAATACCAAGGAGCTGTRTTTTTCTGTGGGTCCAGCGAGTTGCAGCCTTTTTTTACCCTGTTGTTGAACTCTAAAGAGTCTTTAGATGACTATGACTGATATTTTGCATGCTGACAGTCGTTACGATAGCTTTTTAGCTTTACTAATTTAGCACWTGCTCCGCAGGTCCACGTCTACTCTGAGTAAACAAACAAAGCTTAACCTGGCGGGGAKGCATGTGTCTTTAAGCACTTACTTTTATTAAGTTTCTAACCATTTTTTCCCTTCTTTTGTTGCCAGCTATGTGTCCGCCATGGTGCCTGTGAAGTCTCCCAAAGAATACTATGTACAGCAGGAGGTGATTGTGCTCTTTTGTGAGACTGTGGAGAGGTATGATGATGATCGTCCCTTAAAAAGAAAAAACCTTTCACTTACGTCTGTCTAGCATGAACTGGAAACAGGAAATAATGTGATTTCTTTTCTAATTGTGCCGTCTTGTTTGTTGTCTCAGGGCCCTGAAGTTGGGCTATCTCACACAAGACTTGATCGATGACTATGAACCTGCACTCATGTTTACAATTCCCAGACTAGCCATTGTGTGGTAAGTGTTGCCTGTCTTTCCATCAGCTCTTTTCCACCCTCCTCTAACAGAAAGCTAAACATGTTTTTTTTAGTGGGCTTGTAGTGTATCCTGAGGGACCTCTGAACCTCGACCGGAAAGCTGAGGACATGTCTGATCTCTTCAGGCCTTTTCGCACTTTATTGAAGAAAATAAGGTAAATTCCAAAAATGTTCACCAAAGAATTCCTTTCTCCGTCAGGTCTTTTTTTACTCCAACTCTTTCTAATGTTTTTTGCAGAGATCTCTTGCAAACTCTCACTGAAGAGGAGTTGATGACGCTGGAGAGGAACCTGTGTATTTCTCAGGAAGGAGAGTTGTCCACTGGCCAGGGGCTGGCCACGAACAACATACCAGCACAAGTCCAAGAGAATTGCTCATCCTGCAGCCTTACAAGTGACACCTCAAATGAGGAGGGTGAGGGGGAAGAGGAGCGAACGCCTGTGTTTGTTGTCTCCGAAAGGGAGGAGGAGTTGGCAGCAGTAGAAAATGGCTGGGAGGAGGTGGAAACCCAAAGTGGGGAGGAGGAAAGAGAAGAGGGCCTGCTCTGTGAGGAGGCGGAGGAGGCCGAGCTGGCGTGCTCCATGCAGTACGACGAGGAGGAGCTGGAGCAGCTCAACATGATGGTGTATCGCGTGGGCGACGAAATGTCCACTCTGCTGTCCCCACCCAGCCAGGGCCAGTCCCCGGCCCACCGTCCCGGCAGGAGAGAGCCTGGGGGCTCCAGTGGAGCTTCCAGCACTGAAGCCTCCCCGTGCAGGGTCCCGGGGAGTCAGGGAAAGACAGGCATCTATGTAGAGGAGGAGGACAGGGTCTTTTACATGGAGGACCTGGACGCAGCAGGCGACAGCATCACCGGCRTCGCAAAAGAGGCCAGGAGTCGTGTCGCCCCGTCTTCGAAAGAGTCGACGTGTTGTACGCAGCACAAGCTGGAAACACAACAGTACTCTGGTAGGAACGGTTGGTACTCCGAGACCACGTCGGAGCAGCCTTGTTCACAGCCGCGCAGCCTGAACACGCGCTGCTCTGTGGCGAAGCGGCCCCCGTGCACCCCTGCTCCGTGCTCTGAACCTCTGCCTTACAGCAACGGGTGGGAAATGGGTTTAGAAGGGACGGCGTCGGAAACAGCCGAGGTCATCGCCCACCGCATGGGAGGGATGAAGCTGTCCGCCACAGTCATCTTCAACCCTCGCTCCCCCAGCTTGACAGAGCTGGCGGTGGACAAGCTGCTGCTGCCTCGGCCACCTCCCTCTGAGATTGAGCCCTGCGGCCCCCTGGTGGCCACCCATTGCCTCCTCAACTCCTGCGTCTGCTGTGGGAGCTGCGAAGATGGTCATGAGGACATCACCGCCGAGACCGCAGGCCTCGAATTAGGCCTCGGTCTKGGACTGGAAAAACCTTCTAAGACCTCAGCTCCCGGCACCGTTATCCAGTCTGCTGCCTGCCAGCTTCCTCAGCATACTCATGAACCTTTCAGTAAAAGTGAGGTCGCCCAGCTGACTCCGCCTTCCACCCGCTGCTCTGCAGAGCTGCCAGAAGAGGATTCAAATTCCCAGCTTTGTGAAAAGTGCCTGGTGATGTCTTCAGGGCAGGGACATCTCTCTCAGGACACCAGCTCTGGAAGAGGGGGAGCGGTCTCCACATGCAACCACCAGCTGAGGACTGACAGGAAGCAGCAGGCCAGTGGAGGCCGGCAGAGCGATAAGGAGGTGGATAACAAAACAGAAAATAAAGAATTCAGGCGGGACTCCAAAGAGGACAACAGGAGAAGCTGCAGGTTTGTCTCTGAGGCTTGTAAACATTAATCTAGTGTTTTGTTTTTTATTTTATTTTTGGCTACATTTTTATCATATATATTATAATAATCATTTGGTTTTATTAATCTTTATTTTACCTTCTTCATTATCTGTTCCATTACCTGTATTAATTTCACCATTTTCAATGATTGTTTATTATTTTTTTATGGTTTATTTGGTTGTTTTTAGTTTTCAGAACTCTCCCCTCAGCTCTGTGTCAGGTAGTGACTGTGAGAGTGTGTCGGTAACCACATGTAGTCTTTCAAGCAGTTCATACACTCCCAGGTAACATTAAGTTCATTCATGTGTCTGTCTCATGGAAAAAAAACAACAACTAAATGGTATTTTTTTCTGGTTTAGACTTTAGAGTAGTGTTGATTAAAGTGTCAGTCACATCTCTATGAGCTCAGAGTGTTATAATTCATTGTTTTCTGCCATTAGATTGAAGCATTTTTAAATCTGGAACAAAGTTTCTCTGTAACCGATGAGTGTTTAGGGTTAACGTAAAAGTTCTTGAGCTTTTAAAACATTCGAAAAGTACTTTCTCTGCAGCTTTATAATAGGAGGTATAAAAAAATAAAATGCAATAGTTCCAGTTGTTGATCTTTTCATGAATTTTTAAAAAATGGCAAATGTTGACATCTTAGTTATATTTGCTTTTGTGAAAGAGATGTAATGAGATTTTCCTGTCTCCATCCAGTCCTGTTAGCAGTCTAACTCCCAGCTCCGGGATGTCGGAAGAACTGGACCAGCAGGAGATGAAGCTGGCTCTGCACGATACCAAGGTGGCAGCAAGGAACAAGATCCGATCCCGTTTTCACAGCAGCAGCGATCTCATCCACCGTCTCTTTGTTTGCATATCAGGTAAAGGAGGTTCATTTACTCCCTTCCCAGCCGGGCGACTTTACAGCTCCTGTCCTAACATGTGTTATCTGYGATGCAGGTGTTGCTGATCAGCTGCAGACCAACTATGCTAGTGACCTTCGTGGCATCCTCAAAACTCTTTTTGAAGTCATGGCAACCAAATGTGAGCAAGGAGACAACGATAAACAAAAGAAAGGTAAGCAGTTTCTCACAATAGTCAATTTGTATTCACAAAACTTTAGCTATGTTTGCGTGGACATGAGTAATCGTAATAATGGCCAATCAGAATAAAAATGCATCATTTAAATTCCCAATCAGAATATTCTGATCTAATTCAGCTCAGTTGGAATGAATTTTTAATCCCAATGAAAGAGGTGTTTATGCTGATTATAATCCAAACAGTAACTATGTTTACATTTGCAAAATTCTTTGATCGGATTGAAATGTAGTCCAATTAAATAATCTGAATGTATCGTTTACATGGACACAATCCGATGATGACGAGTGTTTACAAGCACCAGGCTTTTATTCAGAATAGAAGCACTGACRTGCGCAGARTTGTTCACTTTCCCTTAAAAACACAGAGAAAAGTTCTGCTTCCGTGATGAACGTAAACAAACATCTTCTGAGTTCAGAATGGCCCTGCTCCAGGTTTTAATAATGGTGGAGACGTCGCTGCACCCTCTGGTTGAGCGACAGGTGATGCACAGATTTTCTTTTCCTTTGGCGAAGCGGYGCAGGCTGTTTGTCTTCCTTCTTTATTGAATGAGAAAATGGGAGGAAAAGTTCTGTCTGCTGGAAACTACAGCGCTGCTGTCCTTCCCTCCATAAAAGAGCAGAAACCTCTGGATGAAAGTCAGCAGACATGCACAGTCAGGTCAGTTTTCCACAATCAGAATAAGATGATCAGATTAAGTGTTTACATGCACGCTGTTCGGATTATCAATCGGCATAACCACCTCTATCATTCGGATTACAAATTCATTCGGATCGAGCTGAATCAGATCAGAATAATCCGAATGGGGTGTTCACATGATGCATTTTTATTCCGAACGGCCGTTTAATCTGATTACTTATGTCCATGTAAACGTAGCTACTGTGACTAAACACTAGCTACGTTTACATGGACATAAGTAATCGGATTAAACGGCCGTTCGGAATAAAAATGCGTCATGTGAACACCCCATTCGGATTATTCTGATTCGATTCAGCTCGATCCGAATGAATTTTTAATCCGAATGATAGAGGTGGTTTATGCCGATTGATAATCGGAATGACGTGCATGTAAACACTTAATCTGATCATCTTATTCTGATTGTGGAAAACTGACCTGAGTGCGCAGGTCTTCTGACTTTCTGCTCTTTAGAAGAGGCGGAGCAACAGTGCTGTAGTTTCCAGCTGCGCTGCGCCACACAGAACTTTTCCTCCACGCTCTCAACAGATGAAAAAGGAGACAAACAGCTGACGTTTCACAAAAAATAAAAATAAACACTTATTGCTTCATCTGCAGCTCAACCGGGGAGTAATGACGTCTCTACCGTTATTAAAAGCTGACGGGTCCGTCCTGAGTGCACAGAAGAGCTTTGTTTATGTTTGTAACACGGAAGTAGAGCTGAAAGTTTACAACACCGCGCATGTCCGGACTTTTAGTCCGGYGCATGTAAACACTTGTCATGATCGGATTGTGTCCATGTAAACAGTACATTTGGATTATTTAATCTGAATACATTTCAGTCCGATCAAAAAAWTTTKTGCATGTAAACATAGCTACTTATTCTGATCATGTTATTCTGGTTGTAGAAAACTGACMTGACTGCACATGTGCTCCCTATGTCAACCTGTCATATTTCCACCTGGCTAGATGCTAATATGTCGGAGAAGCAAAAGCGATCCATTTCTATTAGAAACTTTGAAAGAGCTCAAAATCATTGAACGCATTGATGATTGAAAGTGTAGGAACATGCAGTTATTTCAGCGTTTATTTATTTTTGACATTTGTTTATGTTCATCACGGAAGTAGAACTAATTCTTCTGTGGTGTTTTAGGGAAAGTTTACAACTCTACGCATGTCAGTGCTTCTATTCTGAATAAAAGCCTGGTGCATGTGAACACCCCTCATGACCAAGTTAATTAATTTTGTGCCCATTTAAACGATACATTCAGATTATTTAATCCAAATACATTTTAATCTGATCAAAGAATTTTGTAAACATAGCTAAATGGTTCAGTTTTGTTTTCTTCCACTAAATCACAGTAAAACCCCTCCTCTGCTCTAACTGCCTTTATGAAGTCATCGTAACACATCATTTCCACTACTATCCCTAACTGGGCCGTGATTTTGCAGCTTTGCTTTTTAGCTAAACGGCGATCAATTTCTCTGTGTGGAAGTTTAAATTAGTTCTTTTATGGTGCCCAGCAGGTCCTGTTCTGCGCAGTGCAGTGYTGGAGGACTGCGCTCTGTGTCAGGAGACCATTTCATCATCAGAACTGGCAGCCAAAGCCCGGGAGGGCCAGTTCGAAGGTCAGCACATCCACAGATAGACCCTCAAAGAGTCTAGTTGTCAACCTGTTCCTTTTCCCTCCACTCTCCTGGCCAACATGGAGCTGGTGACACTTCTGCTGCGTGTTTACCGTTTGGTGTTCTCTCTCTCTCTCTCTCGCTCTCGCTCTCACTCTCTCTCTCTCTCTCTCTCTCTCGCTCTCCCTCTGCAGACCCTCCAGATTGGGTCCCTGATGATGCCTGCAGCTCCTGCATTGCCTGCAAGGCTCCCTTTACTGTCATCCGCAGGAAGCATCACTGTAGGAGCTGTGGAAAGGTACAGTAYGAGCTGCTTATTCTCCAAATCTGCAAAACTGTCAGAATTCTCAGTTCATTTTGCACCAAATGAAACTAATTATTATCGCAACAAATTCATCAAAAACTCTCGTTTCAGATTTTCTGCTCTCGCTGCTCTTCCCACTCGGCTCCCCTGCCTCGGTACGGCCAAGTTAAACCCGTCAGGGTCTGCACCCACTGCTACATGTTTCATGTCACGCCTTTCTACAGCGACAAGCCTACCATCTGAACCTGCATCATTACCCCCATAACACCCAGTCTGCTACAAGAGCATATGCAACAGACAGAAACGCAAATGCAACACTGCTCTGGTAATCCTTAATGGTCATGATTGTACCTCCTCAGCATGGCTTCAGAATAATGTCCCTGTAAAGTGAGACGAGCGCAAAGTCCAGACAAGAAAGCACAATGTGACGATCCAACCCRTTTATAAGAAATGCTAACGTGTCAGTGGACTCCAAAGTTTTTTTTTCTGTGCTCACCCAGTATGAGTCATTCTCAGAAGACTGAATGTTGAGGTGCAAAGAGGGAATGAGTTAAAAGAAGCAACTTTTTTACAGCAACTTCMTTTAGCAGTTTACGTCACCAAATCAGAACCAGAACCCCCACCACCCCCCTCTCTGACTTTAGGTGTTGATGAGAAGAGTTGTTAATTTTTTTTTGCTATGCTTTAATGAGCTTCCCACATCTGTGTCTGAGGACCACAAGACTCGAATCACTTAAAAGAATGTAAGTCAGAATCACCGTGTAAATGTCCCCAATTCTGGTACWAAAACATGTCATGTAAGCATTTTGATATTAAAATGAAAGTTGGAAAGTAATCTTCAGCAGGCCTCAAATATCAGCAAAGCAAAACWATTTTTATTTTTATTATTTGTTAAAGTTGTTAGGGTAATTAAGGTGCAAACTTTGTGTTATTTTGTGAGGGGAGTCCAGATTCCAGTGCAGGTGGTTATTACTTTACTGTTTAAACCAATACATGTTGTTCGCTACGAGGACTCCAGTGTAGATGAGATGGATATAAAGTATTGTCTTTTTGAAGCTCCAGAACGGAGAGATGACCTCTTATCACTTACTAACCTCATTAACACAACAATGTGAATAACTTGGTGTGGAGCAGAGGCCTTCTCAGGTGCAGACCTGATGTTGACCAATGATTTTTCTTTTCCTCATTAATATTGTGCAATATTATTACTGCTAACTCACGGTTAAGAAACAGATCCTTTGATATTTAGTTATAAGCTTTCTTTCTGGAGAACAAAGTTGTGTTGGATCAACGTCAGCCAGAAACAGAAACAGCAGCTTCTTTCTTGCTACTTTTGCAGCGATAGCTAACAAAGTATCTTCCGCACTTCCAAGATAATTCTTTCTACATCTGGATGCTGTAAAGTGACCAGTGTGGGTCTTAATGAAATGTTTTATTTTCTTCGTTCTGCTCAGACTTGAAGCAGTCCCTCAGGCATTATCTGTTCACAATCGCCTATCTACTGTTTCATCTTTCTGAATTACATAAAAACTTTCTTTGAAACGTTGCAAAATTTCTTTTATAAAGAACACTAAAGAGAAGAAGCTGTAAATTACCTTTATGTTTAAAAAAAATTCAAGCAGTAATAAAATGGTAAGAAATTCCATTATTATTTCAGAGCTTGGTCTTATTTTGTAAAACTCAAATTCATTTCCACAATAAGAGCTGTGTAATATATTCAACAAATGTTATATAGTTTTAAATGCGATGTATATTGAAATAAATGATCTTTTTTCTGTTTTGAAAAATGTCTGAGCACTTCTTCTGGAAATAATGCTCTGATAGTCACGATTTTGATATTTTCTGACTGGATGTTTTGAGATTCTCATGTTGCAGCTGAAGGATTTTTAATTATGAGAYAGTTTGGCCTGGTATGGAATAACTGCAGGCAGAGCGAAGTGGGTTGGAAAATGTAAATTTTTAGTTATTATGAAGATAAGAAAATACATTGAAGTTTCTATTTTTTCCATGTAATAAAAAGAAGGTTATTTTTAAGAGGAATTGTCTTAAACTTAAAGAGCAATTATGTTAAGTTGCTGAGTCAAACCTTCAGATTATTCACAGCATGAACAGTGATGTCAAGTTGAGGTAGAAAATGTCAGCTCTCAGTTTATTTTGTCTGATTTTACAAATGTTTTTCTTTTTTTATTACCATTACCAATTACTTAGGAATACACTAATAAACTTGTCACAGGTTTTCACATTTTATGACACTTATGACAACTTGAAAGATTTTTAGTTTGGACTCATCATTGCCAAGACTCATTGCCACCAGTTTTCAGTCTTTTTTAAAGTATTTTCTTTTTAAAAAATCTTATTGATACATAGTATTCACTTAAATTATTAGTTTCTGAAAAGAAAAGTGTGACAAACATTAAACTGTCATAAATTATGTTTAACATCTTTACTTTTTTCTACAGTTTTTCCTGTAGTTTTAAAAACTCATTCTGATTTCGTGMTGTAGTTAGACCTCCAGTTATTTTGTCCCAAACTTGCCTACAAATATTTGGAAAAACTGCTGACGAGATCCCACTTGTGTCCTTTAATATATTTTAAATAAAAAGCATAAATGCNTTTTTTAATAAAAAGCATAAATGCTTTCAAATATTTTTATTGGTATTTTTAATAGAAACAATAAAGAAAATAGAAGAAAATGTTTTTTCTGGGTGGTAATGAGGTGCATACAATTAAAGCAATTTTTTTCTAAGTTGTCTCTATGGTTTGACACAACACTGGGCCATCCTTGCAGTTAAATGTCTTTTTTGTGACCTTATAATAACTTACTTGTTCACAGTTTGACGTTGCTCCTATTGCTCCTAAAACGATACAGTCTTGCAGTTGTTACAGAACTGATGGCCTTGCTCTTTCTGGCTGATAAGCTTGTTYTAATTGTGTTACAGTCTTGCAATCAGATCACTCTCAGTTATCGAATATTTTCTCCATAATAAAATCAACAGTCAAGGTCTAGGAAAATATACAATTACAAAGAAAAACAGCAATGCAATTTCCGATTTGTTTGCGACATSCAATGGTTTTGCTGGGAGCAGTTCTCCGGAGTGACCAGCAGGGGGCAGCACTTCCTCGCGGTGTGACGTAGAAGACAGTATTGTCTCTGTGAAAGCAGAGGAAGTTTTTGATTTTTCTTTAACATTACGGTAAATATTAGAAATTTATTCTATCATAGGTTGTAGTTGAATATTTACAGCTTTAGGTTTACTTTGGGAGTTCGCGATGCCGGGTAGTTTAATCACCTAAATGTAAGCTTTTAGCCGTACAAACACAAGGGTTTAATTGTTGTAATATTTGTACCGTGTAATCTCGTCGGCCCGGCAGCTGTTATCTGTTTCCTCGTACATTAGTCTGGCAGCTGTGTGATAGAGGATAAAAAGAGCTTTGAGTGTGATAAAGAGTTAATGGTGTCCGGCGGCCTCTGCTGGCTGTGATTGGCCCGCAGCAGCAGCTCTGGGACGGTCAACAAGTCTCCGCCGTGTGCTCGCTAAAAAAAAGAAAAAAGTCCCTGACTTGTCTCGGACGAGAAGTAACTAGTACGCGGACCGGACCCCGGGGTTTTATTCGTGATATTCACATCGTGAAGTCTTCTTAGAAGTCGTCCGGTTTTTTACCGCAGCATTAAATCCGTTATTTTCAGGCTGAAAATGTGCTGAAAGTTTTCAGAGGTCGGTGGGAAGTGGACCGCTGTCACTTTTGATTCATGGACTCAACTCGGACTTTAGCGGAAAAGCATTTCTGTCAACAGGCTGGCAAGAGGCTGAATTAATTCACTCACTATCAAGGTATGTTGTCCTCAAAGTGTTCATTACATCCTTATAAGCTGCACCATTCTTCCAGGACTTCCTAATTTGCATAATAATAATAATAATAATAATAATAATAATAATAATAATAATAATAATAATAACTTTTGTGTTTCTTTCACACTGAAACTTTTGGCTCATTAAGACTTGTTTCAGGTGAAAAATGTGATTCTATAAATAAACAACTAAACAAAATGTTTAAACATGTTTCTCACAATCATTTATASAGAAAATGCACTTTATGTGAGCATGTTTTGTGTTTTTTTTTTCCTTGTTATGCACAAAAGAGTTGACTTATTTCAGTTTGTTTGTATAATTTTATTGGTAAAGTCTTCATAAAACTAATGAATCCACATGTCTTTCAGATATGAATTTGTCTTTGGACGGTATGGACATCCTGAAGATTTTGTTGTTCATCTCTGAGGCTGTTTTACTGACCGACTGCATACGAGGTGAGATCTGCTAATGTCGTAAACATGGAGGGAAACATCAGGGCTCGTTAATAACTGAGCTGACTGGCCAGTTTCCTGTGTGAGCACCAAGAAAGTCTCGGTTGTATCGTCTCACAGAAAAGTAAGAGACGGGAAAGTTCAAACTTCTAACAACCAAAAAAAATAAAATAAAATAAAATAAAATAAAAAATCCAAGCAGGACTTAAAATCAACATGGGGTAAGGAAAGGAGAGAGGGCAAGCCAGCCCCTGTCCCTTGCTGGAGTGTCTTTTCGGTCACTGCTGTGTGTGAGTCTGCACATTCACTGCAGCTAAACCAAACAAACATCCATCAGCTTCCCAGGGTGAAAGAACGCAAGTCAGAGTCCAGCTCTCCTGTGGCTGGCAAAGAGACTGTCTCACATCAGCTCGCTTCCCCTCAGTCCTACCAGAGTTCACAGCGCAGTTTATTGAGCCAGTGTCAATAATTTGTTTTATAAAGACAACTCAGAGTGAGCTTGTCAAGAGTTCATTTCTATGATTTCATCCACCTTGTTGATGCAATCCGCTGGCATCAGTCAATGACCGWGCTTGAAGCTGCTAATGAGCGAAACCTGAAAACCAGGCATGTTTCTGCAGCCTTGGCTGAACAGTTTGACTTTGTAACGCTGTCTTTAGCCTCCTGCCGAGTGTGGAGGTGAATTGAAAAGGTGTCGGATAAGTGCGATACCTGCATGTGTTGTGGCTCAAGGTGGATTGGGCAGGAGGGGGGCCGGCAGCAGTTTAGAGGGGGTGATTAGATCTGCGGGGTTTGCAGACAATGCCTCATTCACAGCGTGGCAGCCGTGCATTCACGGCACGACTAAACCAAAAGTAAACAAGACGGGGAGGCTAAATGAGATTAGACAGGCAATTTTGTATGTTTACAGATTAACGTATGTCAGAGAAGGAGAAAACCCAGAAGGCCGTGAGATGATGGAGAGCGCTATTCCAGAGGGTCCAAACTGACTCGGATGAAAAGAAGAATTTATTGTAGCCCGTTTTTCACAGTTTCCCTCAAAGTGGTTGCAGATGCTCCAACAGATGCACACAGAGCACATATGTGGTTTGCAGAGACAGTCAGTGATAAAGAGTGATGCTTGACAATCTACGAGCTGTAAATATTTCACAGTTCTCCCAGCAGAAGCAGAAATACAGTGAGTTCAGTGTTACAGTCCAAAGGCAACAGCTTGTCTCCGACACGCTGTGAAATACAGTCGGGAGGTTCTGACTTGTGCTTTTATAGCGAAGCAAAGGCCAGCAAAGCTGTAAAACCGTCCCTGTAAAATTTAACAATGGATGATGACATCTCTGACAAATGTAAATGAAATTATAAAGAGCATCTTGTCTTTGTCTCACGTGTGAAACTGTAAAAACACAGATGTGTYACTGCTGTTATCTAAACGTTTCAGACTTGGCACCTGAAACAGCAGTAAGATTTTCGGCCTGTTGCTGTCAGTCATCGGAGGGATATCGGTCACAGGACCCCTGCCCTAAAACCACACACACACACACACGCATGCACGCATGCACGCACGCACGCACGCACACACACAAACACACACGGGCACTCTCCCACTTTACTGCTACAACTCTGGTATTTGCCAGAGCCTCCACACTTCCTCCATTCCTGGCTCTTCCATCCTCCCCTTCTGGTGCCGCTCCTTCCCCACCAGCTGGAGAAGGTGCTCAGTGATTTGTCCCAGCAGAACCTCTAATCTGGTGACAGTCTCGGGGACCACTGGCCTCCACAAAGAATTCAATCGCTCGGACATATGGCGCTACCAGACACAACCAACAATGACCATATAGCACGCACACAACCTTCCTGAGCTTCGGTAGGCTCTGAACTTTTCTGGAAAGTGTGCATTTTATTGTGAAGTTACATCATATAACAAGAAAAGTACCCTGAGATAAACACTGTTCCAAAAGCTTTTAAAATAACAAGGCCATTGGCTCTCTTATATAGTTTTCCATTTCCTTCAACCATAATGAGGCTAGTTTCTCAGCAACAATGTGCCCATAAGACCTTTTATTTTTTTAAAAAGCTCCTGAATAGTAAGCGGGTTTAATAGTGTTGTTCTGGCTTTTGGCCCAAGTTGTACGCCTGAAAAGGAATAATAAAGATTGCACTAAAAATTGTTGTTCATATATAAGATAAAGTTCCTCCCATGCACACCCATGAAATATTCTATCCATATCTTGCATCCAGTCCTGTCTGCCACACATCTCAATCTTTTCTCCTGCTTTTCYCTGCTTTTCCTCCCATTTACTACCACTGTAAAGTCAAAGGAAGTAAGTTAAGTTAATGTGCCGTCGTTAAAACGAGGCATGACTGACCTTTACTCCCACCCACCCTCTCTCAGCTCTGTTATTTACAGAGCTTTAGCCCATTTGCGGAGAACAATAGCTGGATTATTATGTGTGGTGGTCCCTTCAGGTTGGACAGAGCAGCAGTAATTAATTTTAAACAACTCCTGATCCTTGTAGACTGCTCTTATTCGCTAGCTATTAGCGCTCGCAGCAGACTCGCTTCACTGAGGTGCTGAAGTTTTAAAAGTGCGTGAGAAGAAGGTTAATCTGAGAGGGAACAAATGCTGTTTTCTTGCATCTGAATATATGYATGTTTTTATTAGGGAGGCTGAAATTACCCAGAAAAAAGTTATGATAATGAGACATCCAAAGAGCACATAGGGCAATTAAGAAAACCTCAAGAAATTCCCACTCCCTCTACCCCAGGTGGAAATAATATTCCTCCTGGTACAATCTTTCTGTTTCTGTCACGGAAATAATGTTACCACAACTGCTGCAGCCCACGTTTCCCATCTTTCAGCACACACTGCCGACCCTGTCAGTTCAGGAGGAAACGTTTGGAGAGAGGAATGTGTCAGWCTTCACCCCTCTGAGGGGTAAAGAAAGGAAAGGACTGTAGCTGTGATAAGTAGTCATAATGGAGGTCAGTTGCTGTTTACTTTAGTTGGGTCATAAAAACCCTGAGTGCAGCGCTCTCCTTGCTGCTGGCTGACTTTAACAGGCTCTCCAATTAACATTCATGTGGAATTTCAACTTTGGTTTCTGTATTTATCACTTTCAGCTGTATGCTAATGTTCCAATGAAAAGATTTTTTCTGAAGGAATTCCCATGTCTTTATGTGTGTGTGTGTGTCTGTGTGTGTGCGTGCGTATGCAATGCTCATTAGTTTGTTTGGGCAGTTGACTCTGGGCGTGCTTTCAGACCACACACACTCTTCCTGCCGGCTGAATGGATTTGCGTTCAGTTAAATAGAAGTCCTTTTTGTCCCTTGTTAACCTTCATGGAGCTGCTCACAAAGTGCACACGGAGGTGTCAGGGCTGCCACCATTCAAATGATAATCGACTTTATGCCTTTCTCAAGCCWGRCTTGCACCATTTACCAGACGTATGAATACCAGATTTTAGTTAATTGACAGCTGCTTGGTGTTAAATAGCGTCTGATGAGACCGGACCCTGCTGCTGTGTTTACACCCTAGGGCGAAGTCTAAAGAAGGAGTTTGGGGGGTGGGGGGGTTGAAGGTGGTGGGGTCCGCCTTGTTGGAACCTTACAAGTGACCTTACAATAACATGTCAGACCCACAGTGGGATAYGTTTGTCTTGCGCAACCTGTCCTTCTAAAACTTTTTTTTCTCCTGTCCCACTTCGTTTTTTTTTTCCCTGTTTTGTAACCAAGTGGTGGCGACCCTCCCCACTCCCTCATCTTACCTCTTGTCCATTTTGTGCTCCACAGCAGTTCACTCGCCCACTCTAGTAAGGAAAAATGACAAAATTCCAAATATTCCTACTTTCTGTTCCTCAAAGGGAACATTGTTAGGGTTCAGATCATGAGTTTGTGTGTACCTGTGCACAGGGTATATATAGGGTATAGCACTTTATAATAACTGCACCTTCTTTAGCCTTATTTAATCATGAATAAATGGTTAGTTAAMCTTMACATCATTACATAAGGAAAGATTCATACTTAATAAGTTATAAATTAATACATTTAACAATGCTTTACCCATAAAGGCTAATTAAGTCAAAACAACATACTTATTGTTTATTCATGCTTAACAACTCATGATCTAACTATTCTATATACTGTATMTGTATATAAATGTTCATGTAGATGTACTTTGACAGCATGTGTTAGACATGTATTAATGGTTAGAGAAATGTTTGAATTTACTATGATTTTGGTTTGATTCCAAAGGTAAAAAGGAACTTGTGGGYCTTCTGGGTAATAACAAATACATAAAAACATATAGTCTTCACTTTAAAAGGACTCACAAAAAGACTACTAACTAGGGATGTCCCGATCAGATACTCAGTATCGGTATCGGTGGCACATATGGCCATTTTTCTTTAATACTTCCAACCTTTTCACTTGGAAAGAAATAAAGAAATAAAGCTATCGGATCGGTATCGGATCGGTATCGGATCGGTATCGGAAAGACTGATCATTAAAAAAAAATGGATTGTTTCAGGAGCCAGAAAATCTGGATCAAGACATCCCTACTACTAACTACCAACAACTGCCTTAATTATTGATGCACTGCAGGATTTGTAGATAGTCAATCAAACATTGTCTAACCATTAATACATGTCTAGCACATGGTGTAAAAGTACATTTATATGAGCTTTTACATACATATACATACAGTATATAGAATAATTAATTCATAACTTATTAAGGGGGTTATTATATATTTTCAATTCTATACTGAGTAACTGTTACCTTCAGTTGTAAATGTGTATCAAAAATAAATTTGACTAAATGCCTTGAAATTGGCCTCTGTCTTTTTAAAACCTTTCTACCGTTTCTGACACTCCCACTTAAGCATGTCTTCACAACAGTGCTTGGGGGAGGGGTGCTCTGTGGGGTGTGAGCTTGGCTGGGGACTGCCACAAACAATTTTTTTTATAGTCGATTAATCACTATTATGTTTTCGATTAGTCAACTTATCGGAT